CATTTGAACACGAGGGTGGGGAGGTCAAGGAGGGGCAAGCCATACCGAACGTTCCAGGGAGAGGGAGAGTTCTGTTTTATGCTGCTTGCCTCACTGCAAAGTTCATGACCGGGGCGATCTCCGGATGTCTACCTGCAGGATTTCTCCAGCTTCAGGTCTTGTAAGACACTAGTGACTGCATTGACTTCTTACAAGCAGAAGCCAGTTGACCAAGAGCCCAGAATATCCATCGGGAGCTACGTGATGCGTAGCCGGCGAGTCCCCCAAGCACTGGCCAAATAAGTCGATTTCATGGGCCATGGGTGTTGATTGGTGTGTGTTGAGGTGTGTGTGTGTCACACGGTCAATATCAGAGGATTCAGATCCTGTGAATGGCTTTCCCGTCGTACAATGGTATTTTTCTGTCCACGAATCCATTGGGACACGTGCACGGGCAGCGTTGGTCAACTGTGGCCTTTAGGCCTTTAACGTAGTAGTAGTCTGGTCTGGTTCTGGCTCCCTGGTCTGGTTAGCTAAGCAGCTATTTCTGGTTCTGGTTCTGTCTGTAGTATTTTCGTCAGCAGAAGGTATCTCTTAAAGGTTGGTTCGCGTGAATGGTCCCCCAACATTAAGAGAGATGGGTGGTAGGGTCGTTTGCAACGCGGCCCATCTTTCCGCCAGATCGCGACGCAGAGAGTCCTCCAAGGCCTTTTGTGATGGTTGGGGTCAACAGGAGGCGATAAACCCAAGAGATGGCAACTCTATCAACACCTGCGACGAGTATGGGCTGCTCCAGGGTTGGATCGTTTGGTGGGATGGTTTGCTGAAATCCATGTCTTTGCTCGGCTCACTTGCAAGTACCAGAAACCACTCCTGCATGCACCCAACAAGTAAGTATCCCATGCAGTGCCCTTTGCTGTTGTTGTGTTGTACCCCTCGTATGAAACTAAAGTGGTAGGACAACTGACAACTCAGTTCCCGCAAAAAGTGTCCATCGCTCTTAGGTTGGAGGCCATCGCTCTTAGGTTGGAGGCCATCGCTCTTAGGTTGGAGGCCATCGCTCTCAGGTTGAAGGCCATCGCTACTTGGAGGCCATCGCTAGTAGGTTGGAGGCCATCGCTCTTAGGTTGGAGGCCATCGCTAGTAGGGTGGAGGCCGTCACTAGTAGGGTGGAGGCCATTACTATATCTACTCGTTTCAATTTGCTTTCGCATGTCATCCTGGAGTTTAGTTCAGCTCCTTTGCACGCTTGGTTGGGTCAAGTGCTCAAGTGCTCTCCTCCTGTTTTGTGCAGAGGCCCACGACTGTCAAGTGTACAAGCAATTGTTCAGCTGATTCTGAAGTGGTGGCATCAGGCTGTTGACAGACATCCATTTTTGTTGAGGAAGGATACCTAAACGACCGACAGTATCACAAACTGAGACGACCTTCCGTCATTTTCCGCAGGTTCCGTCATGTCGTTGGTTGGGGTACATCTGGATGTGGGGTTCGCTCTAGACTAGGAGTCCTCCCAGTTCGACCCTCCTGGAAGAAGAGGAAATAGACCAGTCTACCTGTTGCTTGCGGGGTCTACCCGTTGGTTGAAATACACACCCATCTCCCTATCGCGTGGTGAAAACAGGAGCTGAATGGTCGGATCAACGGCCATGACACCTCTGCACGAGGTGCGAGGGATGGACCGAGGGGATGGACCGGGTGGTTCGATCACGAGACTGTTCGAACCACCTCGGGGGTGTCAATTCGGGTACATCGTTTGGACTGCTCAACGACCCCTGCGATCCGGACTGTCTCCTGTGCAGAAGGTGGGGCCAGACAGTTCATCAACATACGTCCGCATTTGTTTGACATGAAGGCGTTGCTTCATGTTGATTGCAAGGGTGTTGTTTGAGAAGATGTTTTGACTTGATCCGATTATTTTCGTGATTTTGCGCCGAGAAACACACATTTTGCCGACAGTTTTTGTTCAGATCGCATCCAAATGAGAGAAAAGCGATCATGTTTTTTTGGTCGTCAGGTCATGGGAACTAATGAAGGCCATGTTTGGTTGAGATACATGTTTTTTTGGAATAGATCATACTGCCAGTTCGTGCGAGTTGAGTGCTGTTGGCTGTTGCTTGATTTTGGGATATGGATTGACGTGGAGAAGCTCACCAATCTGGCTCAAGACTCAAGCTACAGCCACCTATCCTGTGACACAAGCTTCTGGCAACACAGTGATAGGTGCCGTGGCATGCCGATGCGCATCCTCCTTGCTTTTGCTGACCATTGGCTACCTGGAAGAACTTGGTGTACTGCAAGTCTGGAAGAGGATCCGAGTACACCACGAGGATCCGAGTACATCTTCAGTGTTGGCCCCTCCCGCGGAACGAACAGCGCAACCAATTGAAAAGCACGAGAGCGGTATGGAGCGGTCGGGGCACCGCTTTCCCAACAGCGAGTCAGAGGACGGTATGGTGACTACTTGCCTGGCGTCAGCTTTCTGCGTTGTGCTTGGTAAGGCAATGTCATGAGATTTATTGTTTTTTTAAATGGTTTTTCTCCTGCTTAGTAACTGTCAGGAGACACCTTTTGCAGGAAGCGTCGTTGCGGGAAGCGCTGTGCAGAGCCTCCTGTTTTGGTGGGTTGCTATGAGTGGTACTGCTTCCGCGAGGAGTGTAACCCCAATTAGGTGCAATGCGGCTGGTAGCCACATGTAGCCACCTAAGCGTGGCTCACTTCATCGCCAATTTAATGTTGGGTCACTGAGAAGCAATTTGTTTGTTCTTGGTGGCAAGGAGATTGTGCAGTATAGAGATGTGTAGAGGATGGGCCCAGGAAGGGCCTCATAAGTCTGCTGAATTGTCCACCAGAATCAACCTGATTGAAGTTGGTGGACACAGAGACACCTGCTCTGTTGGTGCATCCTACAGTATGTTCCAGCAAGGTTTGGCATTGGTGAAACACATCGAGAAACAGTCGAGGCACAAAAATTGGCAAACCATGACAAACCTCCTTTAGACCATGTTCGAACAGGATTCGTAAGGTCCATAGTAGATGGCACTTCAGTTGGGGATCTAGTCCTAGCTGTCCTAGCTATGGTCAGAAAACGCTGGACTGCACGCTCAAATACGCTCACCAGTGAACTGGGGATTTACGCCATTTGCACGGCAAATCACAGTAATTGTCATCATCATGCCAGGAGGCCCTTTCACTTTGCTAGGTCTTATTTTTCCTTGCAAGAACAAATGGGGGCACTTGGATTTGTACTCTAATAGGGCGACCCCAATCGCCCCAATGAGTAGACTGGTCTACTTCCCCAACCTTCCAAGGGGGTCGGAACACTTGGGAAGTCTGCCTCTTTTGAATGCGGCTTCGCTCGTGTGATCGTTTGATCGTTTCACAGGTCCGCCTGCTCCGCTGCCCGCAGACGTCATGGGCGGTGTTTGGCAGGAGACAGATGTGCGGATGGGTCAAAAACCACTCTTTCAACCTGGAGGCCGACCTCCACCATTTGCCGCGAATGACCTCCACTCATCCAGGTAAGATCAGGTAAGTCGTGCCCGGTCGGTATAACTAGTGGTGCCTAGCTCCCCACAGCCGGCCATGTGTTTCAGCCTTTCAACCGAAGAAGATCAACGACCCTGTCGTGCCGGATCAGTTCGGACCTTTTGGAGGGACAGCGGGGCCTCCGGTCTCCTTCTTTGGGGCCTCCAGTTCCATGTTCGTCAGGGTGTGGGGTGGCAACCGTGGAAGAAGCTCACGTGGCCAATAGATGTTAATCGAATTCAACCAAGTTTGGGGCCAAGTGAGCACACACACATGTGTAGCACAGGCATGAAAGCTTGCTTCACTTTGCTAGTTGATGATTCTTGACTCCTTGACCTGTGGGACCCTTGTCTTCGGTTGTCTAGTAGCGACCAGCTTTCTGATTCTATCCCAGACAAATTCCACTGTATTACTGTATCTCTCTGGTGACACCCAATATTCTGCGGTCATGGACCACGATGGGATCAGACGTATGTCTTTCGCACTTTAGTCATTCATTATCATCCTGTTTCTCTGTTCTTTGCCAGCAAAGTTCTTCTTATCTCTGCTTTGCAGATTGGTTGAGAGGTGCAATTGACAGTGTGGTCAACCAAAGCTGCACACGAGCTGTGCTATTCAATGTGCATCTTCGATGCGTCTTGGAACAACCAAGGTCAGAGCGTATTTTTCAATATAAAACTCTGAATTTTCTTTTTGCTCCTCAGCAACTATATGTCACAATTATCGAAAACGGGTAGAAACCGTCCGTTCATGGGTGGGACCGTCGTGCTACCTGTTTTTGGTGTTCCAAAACTTGTCGGTGCATGTCGGTGTAGCGTTCCGACCTTGGCTTTTCATTGTGTTCCATTGGGCTGCCTTCCGCCGCATTCACTCTACATGTGATCTTTCCTAACTGTCTACCCTTGAACATCTTGAAAGGACAAATTCCACCAACTTGGCGGAACATCGTCAATGAACCGAAAGAGCTTCAATCAAGTTCATCACAAGAGCAATCAACGACAAGCAGAAGTTCGTCATCGACAACGAACCTCAACGATCGCGCAGGGGGTCGTCTTTTCCCCAAGACTCGAGTAAGCGTCCTAGACTTCCTGGGAAACGCTTATCAGACGTCTCCTCTTGGGGTGACGTCTTCTCGTCACGTCTCGTCCATCTCGCCGCTGACGCTGGCTCCGCGGCCAGGATCCCGTCGCGCCCGCTCGGTCCGCTCCTCCTGCGCCGCCCCTCCCAGCGCCCGCCGCGCGGGGGGCGGCGAGGGCGACCGTTCAGGCGCCCTTGACGATCCGGGTGCCAATTCCAAAGGCACCGTTTCCACCGCCCATGCCAAAGCAGGCCGTGGGCGCCAAAGAAACGAACGTGGAGGGAGAAAATGAGTCCATTTAAGAACATGTTCTTGAACAGCCTTCCTCATCTTTCCAACTTCTCATAATTCCTCCAGGATTTTAACTGGAAGATGTTTTTTCAGGCGCACACCACTTTTGTCGTATTATTTTCTGCCGAAGCCATTGTCAGCGCCACAGCTCCCTGCAGAAGCCGGGGAGTTGGCTTTTGGGCAAGTAGTCTTCCTTCGTCTTTCGTGGCACCTCTGGTTTTTCGCACGACCATGCGGCTCCAACACCTAGCGGTGTTCTACATGCTTTGGGCGATCCGGGCACTGCCGGGGGATGAAGAGATCCGACAACAGCTTCGCGCCCGGCATGGACTGAAGACGTTTCCTTGCCTTGTGAAGGAATGCCTGAAGCCAACTCGATCCTCGATCTGAGCTTGTGATGGTGACCATGAACATCTATGTGCCGTGTTTTCTTCTGTTTTCTTGGGGGTTGCAACACAGTTCGGATGAGTAGATGCACAGTAGATGGACCATGAAAGGAGATCCCGGTGTCCCAGTAGTCGCAGTGTGGGAATCAGTCGGTCCCCTTTCAAGAGGACATCACTGACGATTTTACGAAATGCAGACTCTTGACCTATAAAATCCCCCCCGAGGCAGAAGAGGTGTCACAATCCACTTAAAGGGGAATGCAAGGGGGGGTGATTTTTCGACCATGCACCGTGCGCCGTGGCGTGGCGTGGCTGTGGATTCCCACAGCTTGGCCAAGCTGCGCGGGTTTGGGTTCGGGCTGTGAGGTCTTTTGGACCCGGGACACGGCGGGTCGAGGGCGGTGGTCGAATTGGAGCAACCAACTCCCTGCAGTCGAACGGATCGTTAGATCACGCTGCTCCTGGTGAACAGGTGAGAGATGAAGGAGATGTTTGGGGGAAGAAGGGACGTATGATGTTTTTACATGCCTACAGAGCTTAAGTGACCGTAAATAGGACCCGTACTGCAGGGGTACCCTAAGGCATGGGAGAGTCGAACGTTCGGGTTTTATGACCCACCTCTGGTGAAAACCAGTTCGAAATGACTCAAGCCATGACATGCTTTTGGTTCAGCCATGACAGTTCCCATCCCTCCGGACGAGTTCCGCCAGGACAGTTTGAACGGATTTCTCCGACCCAGCCGGGCTACCAGTGGGAGGACCCGGAATGGGATGGTGGGGCCTCCATAAACACGTAGGTTGCGTGGCACGAGCCGAGCGCCACACCATGGAACACATGGGAAGTGGAAGATGTTTCTCGTTTGTCTCAGAAAGAAGGTCATAAATTCATTCTTCCCTTGGGAGAGAAGACCTCTTCCACTTCCATGCTAGTCAGTTGGAGTGCAAAGGCAGGAACCCTCGGAAAAGCACCCATGATCTTCAGCAGAGCACAACCCGTGGGGCGTGACCGTCTCTGTGTGAGGGAACACGGACCCTCAGTGTTCCTGACCCTTGTTGCACTATCGCGATTGCCTGAACTTCACGTCGGATCGTGTTTTTCCGCGAGGATGCCGGTGGTTTCTGTGGCTCCTGGTCGATTCAGCGGGCGGTCATGGCCAAAGGTGCCTGGATTTCCCAGCAACAAGTGAGAAACCACACTGTGGCTGGTGGTGGTCATGATGAGGAGAGCCTTGGAGCTTGCGACGGATCCGACGGATGGATGGAAAACACATCCAGCGGAGGTCGAACACTGCCCGATGTTCTACAGTGGGAAGCCTAAACATGCCTAGCCTGATGACTTGAAAGGATTGAAAGAATGAGACACCCATTGCAGGAATTTGAGGGAATCATGTCTTCCTTTAAACTATCCATGTGTCTATGTTCCCTTATAAGTCACACCTATACCTATAGATCGACCACACATGCACGAGCCCACGGGCGGGTTTGAATAAGATTGTCTTTGACCTTCAGAAAACATATCTCAGACACGACTAATGGGACTGCCATATATGAATATGCCGCCCCATTGACTCCCTTTCAACGACCCCTGGCCTGATCGGCAGTCCGAACTGGCAGTCCCATGGAGTGTTGGGGGTATTGGACTGGGTCTGTGGGATTTTGCTGTCGCTAATGCACGCTATATTTGAGTTGGGTTCGATTGAGTCCCGGCCCAAGGGTTCGCGGTTTGCGTCCAAAATGCTGGAAAAGCCAAACTTTATCCAGCATTGCTAACCCGTACAAAGCCTTCGTTAAATCATGTTTAGAAGAACACCGTGGTATTCCTAACCCGTGTCAAACCCGTGTCCTTGTCCTGGTGTCAACCCCTTCACGAACGTCGTTCACCACAGACTTTTAGCCGCTAAAACTGGCAACATCGATCAACATGATCCCCAAACCTCCAAACATGTAAAAGATTTCTAATTGAAAGACATCGTTTGCTTGAAGCTGGCGTTTTCTGTGAGTTTGGTTGGGGAAGGTATATATATATATACGTATATACAAATAGATAATATCACCCGTTCGTGTGTGTGTGTGTGTCACCCTCTGTTACTAAGAGCTTCCCACCTAGCACTTGGACTTTTGCAGGGGGCATGGCAGCCGTTTCCCTAGGGAATGTGGACGCACATTCCTGTACCTGCAACCACAACTTTTGATTAAGCTGTGACTCCACTCTTTCCTTGTTTGTTTCCATGGTCCTTTCATGCTATTCCCCTAAACCTTTCCCAGATACTCGTGTCCGATTTCAGCCGCTTGTGAGCTGCCGCTGCGTCTCTGCAGATGCGAGAAACATTTTTTCAAACACCTTCAAGTTTTTGGACTCTCCACCTTGCCGTTGAGCCATTCCTTTCAGTGTGGAACAGATGTAACTGCAAGCCCATTATCTAAGTGTGCGCTTGATGTGCACAATGGTCTTCACACCAGAGCTGGCTCTGGTGGCGAACTCGCTTGCGTCGTATCCGGCACATGCACCCAAGGGTCCTTGCCACAAACATTGACACAGCTTTCAAGAATCTGAAGATTGCAGCTGAAGGTCGAATCGTGGGTTTTAACAAACACTTTCACGTATTTTGCTGGAGAACAGACGGACCGTTGGCGGGGACACCAGCTTTCGCATGCTTTCGTTGGGGCACCTTGGTCTGTCGGAGAAGGCCCAGCAACATGAGAAAACAGCTGGAGCTGCTCAGGTTTTTGACTGAAGTGCTCGATGTTGACATGTGTTCGAGGTTTTCACACAAACTGGAACTACCGTCGTGGCAATATATATATATATTACAGTATGTACCTGGTTCTTCAAAGTGACCTTTTGATAACCTGGTTTGAGATCACTTGAGCCTCCTAAGGGTCACTTAGGAACCTTCAAAAGGTCACTTTGAAGAAACTTGTATATATTATATATATATATTTATATTTATATAATGCCATATTGCATGACTCTGAGGCTTCGACTACAAGAATCTCCCCGTTCCGCAGGTGGACTTGTATCGAAAGTGGATCAAGAAGCAGCTTGTGAACGGTCATGCGCTTGTCGGTTCCTTAAGGATTTGGTTAGTGACTTAGTGATTGCTAGCGGCCAAGCAACAGATTGCAGGGAAAAAAATGCTATCATAGTCGTATGACTCGTTTGCTGTGCATTGATCATATGATCAGCCATGACACATCATGGTGGCAAGGTTTGGATGATCATGTTGGATGGTGCGCACTATCCAGTTTACCCTGGACTTCCTTATGGGCTATATTCCCATGTGGAGCCCGTGGTTGGAATCCTTTCTGATCATCCCTTGACCGATGAGAACTTCTATGACGACGATGTGGTTCTGCACTATACAGATGTGCCTGGGAATCAGTGTATCGTTAGCAGGTGTTTATTGGCAGGATTGGCCAAAGAGGCGATAGAGGTGAAACATGGTGAAACCCTTGTCTTGTTCATGTTTTTGAGGAATGTTTTGAGGGAAACTCGTTGGGAGAACGGATGTAGCGGCCTGTAGCGGTCGGAACTGACCCATCTTCACTCGACTATGGCAGGGTGAGATTGATTTCTTCACTCGCGTTACGCGAGTGGGGTAAAATCAGCATGAAAACAGCTCAAAGACACAGATGGGGACAGTTGGTTTTTTTTAGGCGCCTGTAGCGGTCGAAACATGTTTCACCACCTCTCCACCCAGGCCCCCGAAGTCTTTTGGGGTGGTCTACGGGTACCCCAGACCCTCTAAGGAGCTCAACTTCGATACCCCTTCGAGGGCCCTAGGTCCAGACTTGGTTTCGCATCGATCGGGGCACCAGTTGGTTGGTTGAAAGTGCCAGGTCAGAGGACCGCTGGTCGTCGGTGGACGCGTCAATCCATGAGCGTGGTGCGTGCGAGTGTGGTGCGTGCTGGAAGTCGTTCGAACGAGTCGGTTCGAACGAGTCGGTTCGAACGAGTTCCAAGTGACCCGCCTTGTCAGGCGGACACCCACACCTACTACCGAACCATGGCCAGCCTGCCGGGAAGCTATAGAAACTTTTCCCACTGTCCAGGTCATGATTATGTTGGTGGCCTGGATGAAGCAGCAAAGATATGGGACGGCCAGTAGGACGGCCCCTTGAGATGTGACCAGTAGGACGGCCCTTGCAGGCATGCAAATCATTGATCCTGTGCACTGCAATGATCGCCTTTTACTATAGGGCACTATAGTCAATCATTGGAAAGTGCGGAGACATAAGTCATAGATGGAATATGCAGGCACGCATGTTTTGGGTAGCCGCGCCTGTAAGGCCCCCGGGCATGGGGTGGGGTGGGGTTCTATTGACGTCACTTGTACTTGCAAAAATACTTGACGCTACGTCAGGTGAGCGTGTGTTCGTACCCATTGTGTCCGTGGACCTTTGGGCTGTTCTGGTTGTTGGCGGCTTCCGGACGACTCATGCAGTCAGAACTGTTCGAAACTGTACGTAGCGAAACCATCCTAAGTGCTGAAGGTTCCGAGCAACCCCAAAACAGAACTTTTGCCACCTCCCCAAAAACACCCTCCGTGTAAGAACATCCAAAACGTTGGAAACTACACAATTCCTACAAAACAAGACGTTTAAAAAACACCACAAACGCACGGCCCCTTTTGGCGCGCGCCTACCATGTCTTTGGGTTGTTCATTCTGACATTGCCACACTCAGTCAATGTCAGTCACTACTCAATCTGTCTACTGTAACGTACCGATTTTGCTTGGTACTCATATGGTACCCTTTAAGCCTTTGCTCATCTTTGCTCTCCACGAAGAGAGCAACAGCTGCAACGGCACATACAGCCCGGCAGCCGGATCTTGCAGGATCATCAGGTTGTGTGACAATCACGAAAAGGTAGCCTGGTAAGGGCTACCTGGCTACCTTTGCGAAGCAAAGGGGTAGCTTGAACAGCCTGCTCGGGACCAAATATATAATGATATATTTATATATAATATAAATTGTATATGTTGTATATTATATATATATTATATATATTAATATATATATATATATGTATACATCATGATTTAACAATTCTATAGACTGTCTCTGATTGATCAAGCGCCCGATCCTTCCACAAGGGTCTTCAAGGGTCAGACGTGCGGGGCAGCAATGATTTTCGAGTGAACACACCACCTGACCGTTTGGCGACGATACACGTCCCTGACCATCCATTCATGTATGGTCTATTTACATCAATTTACATCAACTTACGTACATTGGGGTAGTTTCAGGGGTCAATGAAGGCATATTTATTACATACATGGATGGTCTGGGTGTCCATCCCGGACTTGCACGATGAACATGTGGGAGCGCGCCACGGCCAAGTATGGCCAAGTGACTCAGGTTACCCGTGCATCAACCAGGAGCGTGGATTTGGATGGGCCATCCAAGGCTTTCTGGACAAGGAGACTTGGGATCGCTTTTGGATGCTGTTTGCCTGCTGTCCAGAAAGCTGTGGTTTTCACAGTGTTTTCATGTGGTTTTTTGCTTTTGGTTTTTGGGCCGAACTGCTTTCCCACACTTCAACGCCTTGTCTTTGGCATCCAGTAAATCCTTTCACTTCAACAGATCCTGGATCAATCAATGATCTCAGCTGATGCCAACTACTGAGCTCAGGATCATGTCCATCCTACGCGTATTGTGTCTTTATATTTACTGTATCAGACATTCGTGAATGAATACTCGGGCGACTCATCTACCAAAGACAACAGTTCGATACCAATTCCAATGCTTTTTGGTTGTGGGCTTAGAGACTTAGAGATCCGCAGACTATGTCCAGAGTCCAAACCCTGGCCCCGGCTATCAGGGTCAACCCAGGGTCAATGAGGGTCCAGCCTGTGCAGTCGTGATAGTATTGCTCGCTTCCTTGGATCCTCAGTGACTGATTTCCGCTGACTCAGACCTTCAAGATGGTGCAGCTGGCATGATTTCCTTCAACCGTCAGGTCTAGCCAAGGCATGACAATCCGCCCATCCTCCGTCTCTGTCCCAACCCGCCCATCTCTGCACGTCAGGAGAGCCGTCCGCTGGCCCTCTCCATCGACCCGTGGCAATCAGAGCCTGACGTCCGCAGAGGTCGGAAACGGCACCGTCCGCAGAGGTCGGAAACATCACATAGCAGTCACAGTAGGGCCAAAGAACCAACACGGTGGGCCATGTCATGTCCTGTTTCTACAGTATTTGTTTGGTCGGAACTTGGGCTAGAATGACAATGAACAAACTTTTGTTGTGGATGTTCTTGGGCTCACCTCGATTGGGGCATCCAGACTTGAAAGACCACAAATCATGGTTCATCCGTATGATCCACACCGACGCTCGTTTTTGGGTCCCGGTCCGGCTCCAGGTGACCAGCCATCCCAGCTCACGGGTACCCTGACGGCGTCGGGTCTTACAACAGGGCATCAGTATGCATCTTGGCGGAAGGGAGTGATGCTCAGGCAGGTGGGTCGGTTTCAGCACATGCGTTGAGGCTCACGGAGCTGGAAGGAGTCGTGGAATGGCTCAGGTGCACACGGAGGTTGGCACATGGAATGGCTTGGTTGGGTTCAATGGAGGGTCCAAAGCTTGAACTCGGCAACCTGGTCTTCACTCACCGGTGTTCAACCAGGGTGTCCCGGTTTTGACCCATTGCCATATCAAGGCCGCTACTCTTCGGAGCCTGCTAGTCTGATGTTTGATTCTGGTCCTGAAAGGCCACTGCCTGAGAAAGGATGCTGACCAACGAATCGGAACAAAACCTGTCGTAGAACTCTGAACTCTTCGTTTTCACGCACTGAAACGGCGGGGACACTCGCCAGTGGTGCGAGATAGTTTTCTGGAGAAGGAATGTCTCAGAGGCACAGGCCCAAGCCATCCATGGGTCTGGAATACTATATATATATATTATATATATGATTATATGTGCCATGATTTTCAACTGAATAACTGAGTTGGTACGGCGTTGCTGCAATGTAGAAACATTTATATTCATACTTCCATACTGTGCGTTCGTCAAAGAAAGAGAGTTTCCAACATGGAAGTCACAGGTCAGGCTCCCTACTTCAGATGAGTTTTCTTCCTTAACCACGCTCCCCGCGTGGTTCTTTGTTCATTCAGGTCCCCCTTTGTGGCTAGTGGGTTCAGAGGCTCGATGGCACTTCTTCCCCAAGGTCGGTGGTTTGTACTTCACCCCCATGTCCTTCAGGACATGGAACGGGGGTGGGTTTGTGCCATTTCGAGCCTCTGATGGGCCCACTGTATGTCGTAGCATGGCCCACGCATCGTTTGACTTCTGGGCCTCGTGGAGCGGTCCTCCATCGTCTCCGCTTGTCCACGGTGACCGGGTGACTGCGACGGGTAATCCGTCTGATCAGACAGAAAGCGTTGGGGTTCGCCTTGAAAGTGTTGAGGTCAAACATTGAAGCATGAGGAACTGAAACCCAGCACCACGGAAAGCGTGTCCATTAATAGCCCCTTAGAGGTCAAGGGGTGCCCATCAACCACCCCTTGGGGTTCCAGGACTGTTGGATTTCCAGCAGTTCGCTGCGTAACCGCCACTGAAACTGATCTACCGGAACATGCCAAAATATGACACTGATAGAGTTAGAGGGGAGAAACCTTATTGACTGTAATTTGGCCAACCATCCTTTGTACCGGACGTTGTTGGGAGTCAGCTTGGCTCAAACTCGACACTAAACGTACTGTGCGCCAGGATGTCACTGGTATTTAATTAGGCCTGTAATTAATGACCAAGAGCTGCGGATGGTGGTCTCTATGAATGCTCTATACTGTATACTTCTTAACACTGCTAGTTTCTGGCCTAGCAAGGTCCAGCTTGACTGAATCTGGATCTGCTCTGTCCAAGCCTTCCGAACCTGCTCGCCCCGGCACTCACCGCTCGCGCTGCGGAGACGCCACGTCGGTCGGTGCCGGTCGGTCCAGGTGCTCCTCCGCTGGGACGGCGTCCTGGACGCCTTCCAGGACGAGAAGGCCACCGTGGTGTACCGCTTCACGGCACCTCCGACCGAGCGGTAGAACGGTACGTACTGCAGCGGGGGCGGCGTGGGGTGAGGTTTGAGACCGGTCGAGAAGACCGGTTCCAAGGGCTTGAAGAAGAGATGGTTAGCAATCGAAATGAGTGGGGTTTGTTCATCAAGAGTCTACACATGGTCTATCACATTCATGTAGCCAGGATGAACTGGAACGCACGTGACTGGGCATCAAATTGCGAAGAGGCCCGCTGTCATGCGGGAAGTACACAACTTACATGCCATCTTGGTGCTCATCATCATGTTTCTGAACGCCTGTCGGAAGACGCTTGTGTCTAGCGTTGTTTAACATCGTACCAGTCCTCCCCAAATGCAATGGCTTGAGATATGCAACTTTTCCAGGACGCCTCTTCCGTCTGTTCTGTGTCCTGTCTTGCGGATGCCTGCGGGAATTGTCGTTACTCACCACAGTGCCACAGTGGACAAACCAGTTAAAGTTTGAAGGGCATCAGGCCCTTGGCCATGGATGTGGATTCTGGAGCATCATCTAAGCCGTTGACCCATTTCTTTCGTCCAACAACACATGGGTACACATGGTCGCCAATTCCGTGATGTTCTAGCTGGTGAAATTTGAACGCGAGACCGAGTTCACCTGGTGCGGCGATGTCCTCCGCGCTTGGCCAAGGCATCCAAGGACACAGAGCAGTACACGGACCCAAGGACCTTCTCGAGTGATAGTGCCACTTACTACCGATGTCGTGAGGACACGGAACAGCTGGTGATGGTTTGAGCAAGAAAAGAAAACACGGCTGAGCACGGCTGCGTTGTTGTTGTTGTTGCTGCAGTGCATGTGAATCAACTGTCAAGGCTTTCCTGTTTGGGTGGTATTGAACCCGGATGATTATCCCCCAGTCATTCCCCATCGATTCTGCTTTCACGAGCCACCCGCAAGTTCTGCGCTTCCTCAATTTGTCCAGGATCCAACTAGTCTCCTGCAGAGAAGTTTGCTCGTTACTGTAGTTCAAACTAGACCCCACCATACTCAACTAAACCATGGTACGCCATTTGGTGTAGATTAGATTGGATGACAACGGCATCATCTTCGTCAAGGAGTAGAGGTAGGATCATACATCTCTGTGTTTGTGTGTGTTTGTGGGATTATTATTAAACACAATGTATCATACAGTATCATACATGTCTTGTGTTTTTCGATCAATGTTCGATCAATTTTTGATCAGCTGTCTCAAAGGCAGCGGCTTCGCTGGACGCTCTTTTGCCCAGCGTCGCGCTTCGTCCAGGCAGCGCCCAAGCCCTCGGCACGGCCCTCGACACGGCCGCCTGCGCCGGTTGTGGCGCCGGCTCCGGCGCCGCGGCCGAGCATGAGGAGCTCCTGGGGAGGCGCACGAAATCAGCCTTGGGGAGGCTCAAGGGAATTCACAGAATCAAAGGATGACAGAAGGATGATTTAGTGGGTGTTGGAATCTGGATATTCATATACACTGATGGGAGGCATCCAGCTTGAAACCAAGAGCTGAAATTGAAATTCACTTGTCTTTGTTTGTTCTGAGCAGTACTTGGTGTTCATTGGACACCCTCCAAAGGAAAGTTTAAGTTGGCAGTGGCATACTGTTTCTTTCGTTCCACCACTGACTTGGCAACTGGTGGGTTCCTGTAGAAGGTGAACCGCTGCATAGGTGTTTGGGCTGTTTTCGATGACGTGCCTGTCAGCTAGGTCCCGTCTCGGTCCGAGACGTTGTCCCAGCACGGGACGGAGGAGGAGGAGGTTTCCCTGCGGCAGTCCTGCTTTCATGTGTCTCACACAGTCGTCCATTTGCACCGGTCGTGCACGTCAGTTGTTCACCGCCTGACGCATGGGGTTCTTCGTTCTTCCATGTGGAGCCGGGCCGCCCCCCTTTTGCACACTTGAGGCGAATCGCCCCAGGGTGGAGAACGGATCCCAGGCATCGATGCAAGGAATGATTGATACTACAACCCCCTATATCTTGTGGATGCTTTGGACAACATGTACAATTACTGTATATGGCTTTGAATACATCAGCTTACATTTTCGCACATCCCCGCATGTTGATGTGGTTGGTCAGCACAGCTCCTTTTGTGGCCGACACGACACACGTCACATCTGGTTTGGTGTTTCATCTCGAGCCGTCTCGAGCTCTATGTTGGTTGGAAAATTCGATCTGCTCACAGGTGCCCCAGGGCAGTGCTGGCAGCGGACCTGACAGAACCATCGAAAGAAAAACGGCCGCGAGCAGATGGTGCATGTATCGAAATGTCGCAGAGAGAGCAAGAATTGACGTGATGAGTCATATGCTGGATGAGCCCTTTGCGCAAGCATTGCTCGTACAGAAGGCTGGCTCAAGGGTAGAAGGGCTCACATGGTGGAAGGTACAATATTAAATTTAAAGCAAATGTGTGCGTGTGTGTACATTACCATTGATGTTCTTTCATGAGAGTTCTGTACCATTGTCAGCAGCTCATTGTTTGCATCAAGTTGCACCATCGAAATTCCGGCAATGTTGATTTTCCGAAGCTTTCTCAGATCGGGGCGCGCTGCTGTGCAAAGCAGGTGCTGCTCCGGCACCCGAAGTCAGACCCAGTTGTTATCGAACACTGAGCCCTGCTTCTATGGGCATGCAAATCCAGAGTGCACTTGTTCCAGATTTGTAAGCTCATCTCATACATCGGTGGCAGGGTTAAAACTTGAGCCCTGTTGTCCATTTTGGCTCAAGTGTTGCCCTGCCAGGGTTCCTGCTATTTCCATTTGTCCGCGCCGATGGAAATCCCAGATCCAAGCAGCTTGGCCGAGGCGAACATATGGGTACAGCGATATGGGCCTGTCTCCACTCCAACAGCATCGGCTGGAGATTGGAAAATCTGGCCGCATATGCAATCCAAAGAGGCCTGGCACCAGGCAATGGGCACGCGCGGTGGTTTGATGGCCAAATTCTTAGAGGCAAGAGGCATTTTCATGGATGGCTGTCAGATTTGTCATGAGTTCAACCGATCCACGCAGTCGAACTTCGAGGGGCATGTAGGCGGGAGAGCGCACTTCAAGCACTGGTGCCATCTTTGTTGCCGAGAGGATGCAAAGGACATGAGTAGCTTCCGAGAAAAGTGGTGGGAGGAGTGGATTGTGAAGGGAGGCGCCATTCGCTTCAACCACGCAGATGGTGTCGTGGAGCTCCGGAAGAATTACCCTTCCATCCAACCAAGCCCAAGCCAAGCAGCTTCAGGATCTATCCCAGCACCACCATCCCCAGTTGAGTTCACACCAGACTCAAGCAATGTCGTGGCCTTGGCCTTGCAGAATCCTGGCAATGTTTTCAGCCTTTGCCTTGAGGAGAACGTCTACTACCTCCTATACTCGCACGTGGGGGGTCCAACTGCTGAGGGTGGTGACCTCTCCAAGTGCCCCTGGCTGCATACCAAAAACACTTGGAGGCCAGTGATGCAACCAAGGGCAGAGTTGGTGGAAAAGATCCTTGAAGCCTTTGATGTCTATTATCCTAAGTGCCTGCTATGCACCAACCCTGGTGGCTTTGCAGAGCATTTGCCTGCTCAGAAGCATTTGCGTCAACTGCAGGATCGCCTCCCGACAGGGAAGCCGGTGACAGAGCTGGCAGCTCAATTTTGGCAAGAGTGGATCTTACCCTTGGGGATTCTTCGATTCAATCATTTGCATGGGCAAGTGTGGATTTGCCGTGGGAAGGCACCACGACAAGCAAAACCCATGCCCTTTCCGAGCTCTTCAACTTCCAATGAAGCTCAACAAGGTCCTTTGTCTTCCAAAGCACTACGAAGTCCACCGATGCCGAGCTCAACCTCCCCACAAACTCCGTCGCGGCCCGTGCCCACCAGAGCTGCGGCGCATGGTGTGGAGGATCCGCAAGACCTGGCAGTGGAAGGGGTGTGGTTTGTCAGTTATCCACCCTGTAGCGAAGCCACGCAAGTTGATGGTGATTACAGGGCATACCCTCACTTGTGTGGAAAAGCGCAATTTAAGAAATGTATGACTCCTCGTGCTGGTGTCATTGAACGGATCCTGCGCTCGCAAGCTATTCCACGGGAGCCACAATGCACTCTATGCGAACGACATCGAGGAGCCCCAAGCCACAGGATTAGTTCTATATATGACTTCTTTGATCGAAGTTTTGTGCTGTTTTTCGGTTGATAGAGGTACAAGATACACGCAGAAGATAGACATGTGAGAGATATACACGACCTCGCCAGTTTGCCAGTCCAAGTTTTCGATTCAGTCACCGGCTATAACATGTTAAAATTTACTACTGAGCGCGTTTTGACCGTGGAATCTGCAGAACCGCCCAGAGTTTCCGCGCTTTCGGGCAGTGGATTTCTCAAGGTAATGGACTGGAAATTTAGGCAATGACTATAGGTTCAACCATGCAGCCGGCTTCATTTCCGGATTTACAGAAAGAATCGTGTTGGTATACCGACTATCCTGACACCACCTGCCTGACACTTGTTCGGGCACCAGTGCAGTCTGTTTGTTCCGACGCGTGTTCTAACATGTGCCTCAGCATTAATCTGACACTTTTCTGGCATTGTGTCTGACAAGTGTTCCAAAATATGTTTGGCATGTGTCTGGCATGTATTCTGACGTCAGTTCCGACATTTGTCTGGTCTGTGTAATGTGTTCTGGCGTGAGTTCTGGCAAATATTTGCCCGGCAAATGTTCCGACAGATACGCGTTCTGGCGTGCGTTCTGACATCAGTTCTGACATGATTGCCGTCTGACAAGCGGTCCGACGGTTCTGAGTAGAACCTGACATCATCTGACAGTCTTTCTGGCACATATTCGGGCATTCGTCTATCTGCCTTTATCCTTTGAAGTCTTCTGACTACTACTCTGACAGTCTATCCGGGGTCGTCATTTTCTTCCGGATATTTTTCTCTTTTTTGCATGCGATCTTTGAGGATTTGGTTTCTTGTTCTTTTGTTGCTGTTGTTGCTTAGTTGCTTGTGGTGCTCGCTGTTGCTATGTTTGCTTGCGTTGCTAATTTATGCTTTTGGTGCCGGCGTTTGGCTTTTGTTTCCTTGCGTTTCTGTTTCGGTTGCTAGTTTTTACTGCTAGTTGTTCGTTTGGGTTCGCTCAGAGGGAAAAGGCACTACCCCCCAACGCAAACCTTCAAGTGCATTCCATTTCTGCGCTCAGGATCGAAATTGCTGGAGGCAAGCCTCCAACGTAGCATACCTGTAGTGGGCCAACCAAGTGTAAAATTTGGATCAGGAAGAATTTGTGAGGAGTCATTCCAATGTAGCATCCATTCCTTGCCTGACAGTCATCCTTGCAACGTTTTGACTAGCATGCGTAATTGTGGACGACTTCTAGTTACGATGCGTTGGTGCGATTTCCTGTGGGGTCCAAACAGCCTAGCGGTACCGTTACGCAAGAAAAAGACATAGGGCTTGCTCAGAGGTCTCTGTCAAAACTACAAATAGACATCGTCATATTGCACTTGTTGTTAAAACGCGTTCTTTGGCCAGCTGTTGCGCCTGTTCCGCCCTTGGCTTTGAAGCCTTCAAGTTTGGGATGTTCTTGCAAACCATTATGCCCAAGTTTTTCAATTTGTGGCGTTCACGCATGCAGGCTATCAAGAGCACCTGGGTGCTGCTAAGCATTGGGATGCCCTTTATCCATACGCCAGGGAGGGTGTTTGCATCGAAGCGGTCCGCGACAGGCTGTGGAATACGATGATGGTTTCTGGTGGCTGGGTGAGAATCAATGAGTTGGACGGCGCCATCGAGATTGCCAAAGGCTCAAAGGAACCTGGAACACGCAGCACTGTGAACGCTGAAGGGCCACCTGCAATACAACAAGGCCGCGCAGGGAATGCGCAGGCTGGAGCTTTTCAAACTGCAATGCCTTTGCGCACCGCAGCGCCAACCTGCAACTCATCAAGCACAACGGCTGCTTCCAGTCTTCTTGGACCACCCTTAAGTCAACCAGAACCCGCTAATTCCGATAGAGCCACGGAGAGATGGAAAGGCTGGAGTGGAACATCGCAAGGAGCTGGCCGAGACGAGGCCTTTTCAGATGTTGTTTCTTTGGCTGATGAGAGATTTGAGGTAGGACCTGTCCTTGGATCGGACGAAGTTGGGCGTTGGAGGTCCAAGTGCTTGCGACTGTACCAATCAAAAGCCCAAGCTGTTCAAGACGAGCTGCGCAAGTATGATTTGCACCCAGGCCAAATTCGGTGTGATGCTTGTGGAAAGCAGCTCGCCATCATGGAGTTTGCCAGTCACTTGAGGAGCCAAGATCATTTCAACCAGATTCATGTGGGTGATGCCGGTGCGGAGGACCCACAGCAGGTGTTTCAGGCTGGCAGTTTGCGTTTGAAGCTTAACCTTGCCGACCTGGACATCACTGTGGAGAAGGTCAAACAGAGCCCAGACGGATGGGAGATTGTTTAAAATGACAGTGGCCTGCTGAATGTTGTATTGAGGTATACTAAGTTCATATTGCTTGATTGATCAGTTTGGACGGGGCTTGACTCGCTTGCAGCAACACACACACACGTACTGACCTACCCGGGAAAAGCTTGCAAGCGCGACGGCAATCCCGCCCTTAAACTTCATTGGGGGGTTAACAGGGATGATGCCCCAACAAAGCCCAACAACTATTGGACGCTGCTGCGATTGCGAGGGCCCAGGCGGACCTAGCCACCGCCAGGGAACGGGTTTGGGTTAGTTCAACATCTCATTGGGTTAACCAGTTTGTTTTTGATGTGGTTGCTTGGGCCTTCATATGGCAGGTCTCCAGCGCTGGCAGATGTGACTGCTGCAAAAAGAAAGTGCAAGATGGCTGCACGGCCACGGCAGCAAGCAAAGTGTTGGACACATTGAGTTCTTCAAGTGGTGTTTGTTGGGAATGCCGTCACGCTGGTTACATGCAAAGCACGTGCTGAAGTCAAACACACGAAAACTCACTTTACTTATTGAGCCACCCTGAAAGGCGATTTGGAAGAAGGCAGGGCACATGAAGGCGGACATGGGGATAGACCTCACATTCTGACGTTTGTTCTGGCATCAAGTCTGGTTTGTACTCTGGCACATCATCTATCATAAAGGCTGGAGAATGTTTTTGTTTGAGGAAGCAGTTCATGAACGTCATTTGTTCACGAACACCAAGTTCGAGGTTGCTGAATGACAGCTGCCTTTCTGATCGAGCCGCCACTAGAAAGGAAAAGGTTCGTTTTTTCGCTCATGTGCGCTTTCTCGCTGTTTGCTCACTGGAATAGGTTATGAGCCCAAAACCTGGACCGCTGCGATAGATGTCGCTGAACCAAAGAAGACGAAGGGCTACGGCTGCTGAGCTTGCACAGGGCGAGCGAGAGATGAAGCAGGCGCAAGAACGCCTGGACCGAGAGCTGAGGGAAAGCGGTGAGTTGGCCTTGGAGGACGACCAAGGCAGTGAAGTGAAAGGAAAAAGGATAGGAAAAAAGGGGCAAAAGGAAGCTTCGGAATCCCATCCTAGTCAAGGGACTCCTTCCACGGCAGCTGCACCAACCACCGTGACTAGTGCTTCGAAGGTCACCAACTCTCTTGCAGGTAGAACGCCAGAGGTGAGGGGACCGCCAATGCCTTTGAGTTCGACCCCAAGCACAAAAGAAAAGGTAGCAAAGGGTCGAGAAGATGTGACTTCTATCACCCCCTACAAGGCCGAAGAAGAGGTTGAGGTAGGAAAGGGTGGAGAAGAAGAAGAAAGTAAAGAAGAAGGATTTCAAGTGGATGTGTTGCCAAATGGCCCCCATGAGATCCTTTCGATTGCAACACCACCGGAAGCAGTGAAGCCTCTGTTTGACAGGGAACAACTACAGGGCCTTCATGAAATGTATAGTCAAGCTCCTCTCTTGTATCCACAGTTCCAAACTCCTCAAACGTCCTTGCACCGTCCTGGCTTCCTCGCTGATGAAGAAGAAAAGAAGGAAGTAGCAAGAAAAGCAAGGCAAGAAAGGATGATGGAGGAAGAAAGACAAGAGTGGGAGGCTGCAGAAAGGTATGAAAAGGAAGAAATGAACCGCCGCATTCGCCTGCTGTCTCAGGAGAACCAACGACTCCGAGATCAAGCAACTGGCATCTATCCTCTGACGAGGACCAGGCTTGAAAGTGATGAGGTTCAGAAAAGACAGATTTCGCAGCTCTTTGAGGAGAATCGACTTCTCAAGGTGCACTTGCAACGCCTCTTGACAGCACAGCAGGAGGTAAAAGAAGATGAAGCTGTTTTCGCCACCCCGAATGGTAGCGCTGAAGCAGGTGATTCAACCCGACCTCCTGAAGCTGAGAGAGGAGAGGAAGAGTTGAAGACAGAAGAACAAAGAACAGGAAAAGGAGGAACTGTTCCAAGGAAAAAGAAAAAGGAAGAACCAGTTGAATCTATGGACACTCAGCACCAGACGCTCACAGTTGTCCTCAAGCTGGTTGAAGGCATGCAAGAGTTGCAGAAGAAAGTGCTTCGTTCGCAGCGAGATGAAGACGGAGCAGAAGCTGAACTGGTTCGCAATGCAGTCGAACTACCAAAGTTGCCAGAGTGGAGCCCGGAGTCGTCGCCCATTGACTATGCAGACTGGCTGTTGTTGCTGCAGCCTATCATGGCCGACCTGTCCACCACAAGCGAAACTTGGTGGGAAGAAGTTGTCCGGGTGGCTCGCTCTTGGTATGAAGATCATATGGCCAAAACTCCACTGGAAAGGTTGGGGCACAAGGTTCATCCATCGTCAGTCCTCAATCAGAAGAAGTGGTCGCGGCTTGAGAAAAGGGCATCAGGGTTACTCCTGACCGCCATCCCAAATTCCTTGAGAGAAGAAGTTGTTGCATCCAAAAGCATCTCAACACTGGGCATCCTAGTTCGAGGCATGGAGCTGTATCAACCTGGAGGTCTAGCAGAACGCCAGGCCATTCTGAGTGCCTTGGAAGCCCCGTCGGAAGCTCAAAGTGTTGGCTCGTGCATTGCCACCCTTCGAAAGTGGATCCGATGGAAAAGACGTGCTGAAGAGTTGGGGGTCAGTGTACCAGATCCCACCATTCTTGCCAGAGGCCTAAGCCGCATGCTTCGGAAGATCCTGACGCTCAACCAGGACTTGAACTTCCGCCTCCAATTGGCAAGATCGTCGTTGATGATTGACTCGGTCCCAAATCACGCTTCGATCACCCAGTATGCCGAGCATGTGATGGCTGAGCTGGAACAGGTCAATTTGCAGAGTCGAAAGAAAGATCCTCCTGCACTACCTGATCCTACAAAGTTGAAGCGAATTGAGGAAGTCAACAAAGAAAAGAAGGAAGGACGAGATCGAAAAGATGTAGAAGAAAGAGAATCCAACAAAGAAAAAGGAAAGTGTCGGTTCTACCTGACAGATTCAGGTTGTCGACGTGGCAAGAGTTGTGGCTACTCCCACGACCTCAAGGACGAAAGAAGAAGGTGCTGGAATTGTGGCTCAATAGACCATATGGCTCCAGCATGTACAAGACCCAAGGAGGTGAGGGACTTCTCATCGAAGCCAAAGATCGCCAAGGCTGAGAAAGAGAAGGTTGAAGGAGGAAAGGGTGAAGTGGACCAAAGTGATGGAGTTCCATCCATCAAAGAGTTGATCAAGGAGGCGAACGACATGTTGAAGAGTATGCATTCCTCGCCATCATCATCGCAAGCTTCTTCACCTGTTTCAGCCCTCCCTCAGGAGCAAGAAAGAAAAGAAGTGATGGAAAAGCTACAGCAACAGTTGAACATGTTGCGCATGAAAACGTTCAGGTTGAAGAGATTGCAGAAGGGAGAAAAAGAAGGGCTGCTGGACAGTGGTGCAACTCACCCTCTTCGTCCATTGAAAGAAGGGGAAGATCAAGAACACTACAAGAAGGTCCATGTCTCCCTTGCAGATGGAAGCACGGCCACCCTGGCCATCAGTCCAGGGGGAGCGATGATCTCTGAGGACTTTGACATTGAGCCGATCATTCCCATGGGCTTGCTTGCTGACCAGCTCAACTGTTCCATATCCTGGTCGAAAGGGCGTTTGGAGGTGGAACATCCGACCTGGGGGAAACTGCCAGTGGAAGATCGACATGGGTGTCCTCAGTTGCCGCGTCGCCTGGCTCTGCAGTTGATTGATGAACTTGAGAAAGTGAAGTTGGGAATGAACTATAAAGAAGATGATGACTTTGAGGCAGAGCTCAAATGGATGCGAGACTTGGTGCAACAACATCCGGTGTTGTCCAGGCTTCCGGACTACGTCAAGGATAGTTTGGTTGTTTCTCCTGCACCTTGGTCTTCGCTGCCTGCCAATAGAAGAATGAGGAGAAGCATGAAGAGAAATGGCTTCGTGTGCCACCTTTATGCAGGTGAAGCTGATGGATTTACACTCGGTCGGGCATGGAGTCAAGCAGGAGGAAAAGATGCTGAGCTCCTCGAGATCGACCTGAAGAGAGGAAAAGAACACAACATGCTGACTCCGGATGGGCCCTATGGAGGTCTGATGAGAGCAGTTCTTGAAGATCGCTTGCTTGGCCTGGTCGGAGGCCCCAATTGCAGGACTCGTTCAGTTCTGAGACACTACCCTGTTGAGGGGGAGACGCCACCAAGACCCATTCGTCGTTGGGGAGGTGAAGAAAATGGCATCAAAGAAGCTACTGAAGAAGAAAAAAGAAAGATCCAAGAACACGACATTTTGTTGTGGCGCATGGTCTTTCTTCAAATGGTTTCCACCTACATGAGGAGGGCAAGGGGAATTTCAAAAGAACCAGCATTTGCTTTGGAACAACCAGCATCCCCGAAGGCCTACAAGCCGGAAGTGGTGTCCTTTTGGGACACCGAAGAATGGAAAATGCTTCAGAAGGAATTCCAGTGGAATGAAACTACTTTCCACCAGAAGCCACTTGGAGGTCAGACTGCAAAGCCAACAACGTTTGCAGGAAACATGAAGCTCAACCCTGAAGAACACTATATGAAAGGGGAAAAGAGTTCGACAGTCAAAGGTTCTTGGGAGTTGGCACGATGGGCACCGGGCATCATGCACATGTTGTCGAGGTCCTTGCTCCTCCATGCCTTTGGTCGAAGCCCGCAGTTGAAAGCTATGTCCTGGGAAGAACATATCCTGTTTGGACATACTCCAGCACGAAGAGATTGTTTGGTGTGTCAGCAGAATCAACAAAGTTCGCCTCATCGTAAGGTCAAGAAGCCCTTGGCTGGAGTGCTCTCCTTGGACACTGCAGGACCGCTGATTCCTGCATACAATCAAGGCGGACACATGGCCCGCTACTTCCTCGTTGGAACCTTCACATGGGCAGTGCCGAAGGGGAGAAAAATCGAAGAACCTTCTGAAGATCAACAGTTGGACGAGGAGGCTGAATTTGTGGCCATTGAACCAGGTGAAGACGAGGATCAAGGCCATCCAGAAGATCAACAAGATGAAGAAGAAGAGGACCGACAAGTGGAGGACCACGATGAGAATCAGAAGGAAGAGTCAAATGAAGAAGAAGAACCAAAGTATGTCTCAGGTGGCCTCTCCGATGCTGAAGAAAGGGAAGGTCGAGAAGTCGATCTATACCAAGAAGAAGAAGCAGCAGAAGAGCCTCAGGACTATGACATTGAAGTCTTCAGGCTGGCTGAACCCATGCATACAAAGAAGGCCAAAGAAGTCACAAGAACGACAATGGAAATGATCTTGAGGTTGAAGATTGACGGCTACACCGTCAACAAGATACACACCGATCAAGGTCGGGAATTTTCAGGCCAATTTTTGGACTGGACTCGCAGAAGGGGGATCATCGTCACCAAAACCGCAGGGGACGAACCCCAGTCCAACGGCCGTGCAGAGGCCGCAGTGAAAGCATTGAAGAATATGGTTCGCAAGGCATTATACCAAGCTGGCGAAACGGCCAAGTGGTGGCCCTGGGCGCTCAAGCACTGCGACGAGGTGCTCAGGTGCAAGCGCACTTACCAAAAACCTTCCTTTCCGCCCTTCATGCAAGAGGTCCTGGTTCGCCGACGTCGATGGAAGCTGGGTGATTTTTCACCTACCATGGAATCAGTCAGGTATTTGGCACCATCTCCTCAGAACCACGGACACTGGATTGTGAAGGAAGGGGAAGCTCCAAGGCTCACAAGGAGCGTGGTGAGAAAAGTGTCATCGGCTCCGGAAGAGGGGCATTGGATCGCCCTTGAAAAGGAACTCTTGGACGGCCTCTCCCTAAGAAGAAGGCTGAGGGAGAAAACCTGTGTCAAACGCATTGAGGGAAGAAAGGAGGATGAAGAAAGAAAGACTGAAGAAAGAAGAAGGCTCAAGATGGTGATTGCTGAAGAGATGAAGCGTGTCTATGGTGACCACCCTCAAATGGCAGTCGAAACCATCAGAATCGTTGAAAGGCTGAGGAAAATGTCCGAAGCGCTGGACGATGAAGAGGAAGAGGTGCTCCAGACGAAGATCGTCTCGCAGAAGGAGGTCTTGGCAGAATGGGAAAAATGGATTGAACCAGCCACCAACGAGATAGATTCCCTCATCCAAGAGAAAAGAGCACTTCGGCCTCAAGAAGAAGGAGAAGTACAACAGAAGATTGAAGAAGCGAAGAAAAAAGGGGTAGTCATCGAACTGATCCCATCCAAGCTCGTGTACACCAAGAAGCCAGGTCGCCGAGGTGGAAAAAGGAAAGTAAGATGGGTGGTTTGTGGCAACTTTGAGTCACGAACAGCTGAAGAAGAGACCTATTCAGCTGGAGCCGATGCAACTGCATTTCGAGTCGCATGTTGGCTTTCTGCACAGCACCAATGGAGTGGCTATGTGGTGGACGTCAAAACCGCCTTCCTGAATGCAGCCATGAACTCCACGGAAGACACCCAGCTTTTGTTGGTTGCACCTCCGCCGATCCTGGTGGAAAAAGGGTTGTTGAAAAGAGGGGTGATGTACATCCCAGAGAGGGCCATCTATGGATTGAGGAGGTCGCCTCGACTTTGGGGTGAACATAGAGACCATATCCTCGCTGATCTGGAGATCGCCATGAAAGAAAATGAAGAAGAGAAGGAGGTCCTCATCCTCGAACCACTCGCATCAGAACCGAATCTGTGGCGAGTACTGTCTCGAGGATCTGACCAGCTTCGAGGCTTGTTGATGACATATGTTGATGACATCTTCATTGCAGGAAGCCCTGAAGTCTCAAAAGCCATCCTTCAAAAGATCATGTCAACTTGGACTACATCTCCGCCTGAAGAGATCACGGAAGAAGGCGTGAAGTTCTTGGGGATGGAAGTCAAGAAAAAGAAGTCTGAAGAAGGCCTCGATGTGTGGCATCTCTCGCAAAGGTCGTATTTGGCTGATCTCCTGGCCGCTGAAGACCCACAAATGAAGCCTCGAAAAGTGCCGATCACTAAGGATCAAGCTATGATGCCGAAGGACACTGGAACTACGTCTCCGAATGATGTTCGCCTGGCTCAGAAGATCGTGGGCGAAATGCTATGGGTCGTCACGAGAACCAGACCCGACATCATGTTCAGTGTGTCTCGTATGGCATCTAGCATTCTGAGTGGCGCCAAAGCAGTTCAAGAAGCTGGAGCTCAGACCAAGGCCTATTTGAAGGCCACCCAAGATCAAGGCATTTGCTATGCCAAAGAAAAGGAAGATGAAGTGATGATCAACGTCTATACGGACGCCAGTTTTGCCCCATATGGAGATGAATCCCACGGCTGCACAGTGGTCATGGCAGGAAAAAGTCCCCTGTTTTGGAGAGCTGGAAAACAAAGCACTGTGTCCCTTTCCACTGCAGAAGCCGAGTTGAACGAAGTCATTGAGGGCATGATTGCAGGCGAGTCCGTGGGCGTGATATTGGAAGAATTGACAGGCCCTTTGCCTCATCTTGCTTGGACCGATAGCCAAAGCGGCCTTGCAATCCTCGTAAATGAGGGAGGATCCTGGAGGACGAGACACATAAGAACAAGGGCATCCTACGCAAGGCAAGCCATTCAAGAGGGATCCTGGGGAATCCATCATCTCCCAGGTGATGTCATGGTCGCCGACATTGGCACCAAAGCCCTTGCTGCCTCGCGCTTGGAGGATTTGAAGAAGAGGATGAATGTGAGGTCGATTGAAGATGAGAAAGAAAGTGGAAAAGAAGTTGAGGAGGGGAAGAAGGAGGAGAAAGAGGAAGAAGGTCAAGAGAAGGAAGAAGGATTGCAAAACAAGCACAAAGCAGCCACTATCCTCAGGTTGCTCACCTTGGCAGCTACGATTTCGATAGCCGAAGGCCAAGGGGGAGTTGATGGTGAAGAAGAAAGTGATGTTCATCTTGGCTGGATGGTGTTTCTATACACCTTGATCGTGGTCATGCTCACCTCCATGGTCTGGTATCTGAAGGAGGGAGTAGCTGGAAGAAATCGCCAATCACGAAGTGATGTTGGTCGTGAACAGCGAAGTCCTCCCAGAACACCAGACCGAAGGACGAAGATGAAAGCAGCCAAGAAGCAGCAGGATGATGAGGAAAGTGAAGAAGAAGTTGTCCGGCCCACCTATCTTCCAACTCCAACACAGTCTCCATTGCCTCCGTCTCCATATCCAACTCCGTCTTCAGTGCCTCTCACTCCGAGGGAACAACAGGTTCCACTCACGCCAGTTTTGATTTGGGGAAGGCCATATGTTCCCCAACAGCTGATTCCAATGGAATCATTGAGCCAACAGATGACACAAAAAGAGAAAGAAGAGGAAGAAGAGAAGCGAAAGAAGAAAGAGGAAGATGAGAAGCGAAAGCTAAAAGAAAAAGAGGAGGAAGAAGAGAAGCGAAGAAAGGAGGAGAAAGAAGAAAGGGATTCGAAAGAAGCCACATCATCTGCATCCACCATGCCACCGGCAACTCAGGCCGGAGGAAGCAGAAGCAGAGCATCCATCCCACAGGGAAAAGAGGAAAGAAATGAAGAGGATGAAATGGTTTTCACAACGAGGTTCGGAAAGGTCCACCACCGAACCAGAGAATGTGACTACTTGAAGGCACCGAGGACTGGTGAAGCACGCCAGTCTCCATGGTGTGGCCTTTGCAAGGCCAATCGAGGAACACCAACCAATGTGACCTTGTGGTGCAGCTCATGGGGTGCTTCAGTGCACTCGAACCGAAGCTGCGCCAACCTCGGGATCGTGGATCTCCTACGGTTCACACCGTGCTCGAGATGCAGAACGCAAGAAGGATGAAAAGGCAGTTTGAGCTGAACACAGGCCATCAAGGCCGATTTTGAAAGAAAAGAAAAGTTGGCACTTCCTACCGAAAGGCCAAAGGGGGAGTGTTTGAGGAAGCAGTTCATGAACGTCATTTGTTCACGAACACCAAGTTCGAGGTTGCTGAATGACAGCTGCCTTTCTGATCGAGCCGCCACTAGAAAGGAAAAGGTTCGTTTTTTCGCTCATGTGCGCTTTCTCGCTGTTTGCTCACTGGAATAGTTTTGATTGCGACGTCCTTACTGATCTTGCTGGCGTGCGGCGTGTGTTCTGAGTTTACTGCCGGTCCTGGTCTGTGCCCTGACATTCCGACATTTGTTCTGCCATCAATGAAAGTGTCCTTCTTGCCTTTGTATCCTGGCATTCTTTCTGGCGTGTGTAAGCTTGTATCCAGGGAATTCTTCCTGGCATATAGTCGCCGGGCATTCTATCTTGCATATATTGACCTTCTATTCCGGATATGTTCTGACATTTCTGCTGGCATACATTCTGGCATGCTCCATCATTCTACCAGGCATTTATGTTGCCGTTCCACTTGCCAATTTACTTCGGCATATATTCTGGCATTCAATCTGGCATACACGCCGGCAACGTATCCGGCATTTTTGCTGCCAAACTATCTCGCATAACTCTGGCGTTCTATCTACCTGCATCTACCTCCCCTATATTCTGATATACATATATATATATAGTGGCATTCTTTCTGGCATGTACATACATTCCGGCGTTCTATCTGCCGTATTTAGTGGCATTCTATCTGGCATCGGTTCTTGCATTGTATCTGCCATTCACGCAGGCATTCCATCTGGCAAGTTCTGGCATTCTATCTGGCATACATTCCATGGCATTCTATCTGGCGAGGTCCGGCGGTGCCCACTGCGATCCAGCCCTTGTGACTGAGGTCAGGCGCAAGAGAAGAAGGAGAAACAGGATGTCATCTCTGATAAAATCAAACAACCCTCACCTGGCAGGTGGGGACATACTGTAGAATTCATCAATCATGTTGACTTGGTTGGTGCGCCAAACAAACGCAAAGGACTTGCGCGCAGAAGTCTTGCATGCACGTACACGCGCCAAACTTCGCAGTGTTCACGTCCAGCCCGCAAAAGTCTGGCTCACATGTAGGAGGGCTGACCGGGTCGACGGACGTGTTTTTATCGTATAAAGACCATCTTAAGTCATATATCATTTATCTCGTGTGCATTGTATTATCGCACTTTTGTGGCTGCAATGTTTCGAGCCTTCCTTAAATTACCGGGCGCTGGAAGATCTTTTGGCATTGGCGCAAAGCGGAGCAGCTCAGACACAATAAGTCAGACTCCTGCCATCCACAAACGCCAAAATGAATTTGGAATTTGGAGCCCGCCAATTTTTCCCAAGTAACAGTCAAGGTTCGCCGGATTGGGTTGCTGACTGTGTGCCAGCCATTTTCCTGTTACAATACACATGCAAACAGTGCCACAGGAATATTTCAATCAAAATGCATACTGGCTGTCACCCCCCTCAACCAGTTTACATGGAAAAACATGCCTTTTGTCTTGGTGAAACAACCTTTACGGGCTGGTTTTCCAAGACACGTTCAAGTAGTGTGGTCCACCAAAAATTCGTTCCATTTGTTTGTTTTTTACTTTAATTTGGGCATTCGATCTGAGGTAGCTACATTGCTGCCGGCCTGACCGGTTTTGCGGGCGCCGGCTTGGCAGCAACAACCTTCACAGTTCAGTGCGAAGAGAGAGGCAAGAGTGAGAAAAACCGCGTTGGATGCTTAAAACTGAAAAATGGTCGATCGATTTTCTACAAGACATGCGGAGAGGGAGTGCCCGTTTTTGCCTTTCACGGCATGGGCAGTGCACACACTACTTGGGATCAAGAGAAAGCAGAGCCGGGAATCCAGTTGATCGCAATCGATCGGCCTGGCTATGGTGCTTCCTCACCACCACCAACAGGGTGTCCTGCTTGGTTTACACCCGGGAAGAAACCCACATGGAACCTGAAAATTGACCTTCGGAAAACTATATTACTTCCTCCATCAGCCAGTGGTTTTCAGGTTCCATGTTACTCTTCCAGGGCCTTAATATTTCATACTTCCCCCCCGAGCGGGTCAATCCCCGAACAGTGGGGAAGATGTTCCATGTGTTCCCGGTTCATCCAACGAATCCCAGGTATAGCTACATGCAATTCGTGGCTGACCTCGCTGAAGCGGCTGACCAGCTGGGTTTGGATCGCTTTTGTGTCGCAGGTCACTCCTCAGGGGGTCCATATGCACTAGCGGCCGCTGCCTTGCTGCCAAAGAGAGTGGTTGCTTGTGCTGCAGTTTGTTCAGATCCACCTTACAATCATCCCAAAGTTCCGGATGCCGTGCGCCAAGCGGATGAATTTGCTCGACCCCTCTTCGGCACGGTCGACAAGCGGCTCGCTGAGCTAGGTTTCGACATCAAAAAACCTGTAGCTCCAGTGGCGAATTATGTGGCCTGGCGCAGGTCGTCCGGCAACGTGGTCTACATTTCAGGCCAGATCCCTAAGGATGGTGATTTGTTGCACAAGGGCCAAGTTGGTGGCAATCTTGATGTGAAAGCAGCTGTGCAGGCTGCAAGATTGTGCGGATTGAATTTGGTGGCACAGATGAGAGAAGCTTGCGATGGGAATTTGGATCGAGTGAAGAAGATCTTGCAGGTCCAAGGTTTTGTTGCGTCTACACCTGAGTTCACAGGTCATCCACAAGTGATCAATGGAGTATCAGATTTGCTGGTCGACATTTTCGGCCAGGAGGTCGGCTCACACAGTCGTTTCGCTGTTGGCTGCAGTTCCCTTCCCCTAGGCGTCCCGGTGGAAGTGGGTGCAGTCATTGAGATCGACGACGATGATGCCGCCTATCGCCCCACGCGCCAGGGCTTCTATGGGGTGGATCCGGTCATGAAGTGCCGCCAGATGGCGGAGGATGCTGACCCCAAGCGGCAATATGCCTGGCAGCAAGGGCCTTTAGGTTTCGTGACGGACTACACCTTGGAACGGCTACCCTGGTCCTTCGCCGTGGAAGACATCAAGTTGGGAGAGCGCTTGACGATCTGGTTTGGGGAGAAGGATTTCCCTGCGATTCTGCTGGGCGCGCCCTTTCTCCAATCTCTCATCGCGGGTTCAAAGATCCGAATGGTGCCCAATGGAGACCATGGATTCAAGAGAGATCCTGAACATCTCTCTGCCATCCTGCAAGAGCTCAAGACCCACTGGGACAAATCCTCCTAAAAAAGGGTGAGCGAAATAGATATCGAAATATGTTGACATATTCTTTGCCAAGGCGTAAAGATGCGAAAAGACGGTGCGGTGTGACCGAGAGGGTCTAAGAGTTGGTCTGAATCTTTGAAACGGGTTTTGCGGAGTGCTAGCGTTTGCCAGCGAAGTTGCATGACACGTGAGGTCTGTACGGGTGGGCACAATGGTTGAAGCGTCTTGTCCGTTTGACTGCAGCCATTTGCTTTGGCTCTGGGCGGCCGCGTCGCCTCTTGTGTGGTCGCGCAGAGAAGGGGCCTCTTACGTGGTGAGTGACTCTCTTTGCAAGGACTTGAGACCTGGGCTGGAGCAGATTATTGGGCGAGATCGACCAAACCACAAAAAGGTCCAAAGATTTTGATTGTGGGTAGTAGAGGGTATCAATACAGAGAACCCATATCCTCTGGGACGAGGGATCGCGAGGATTTCATCAGGCTGTTTGCTTATATAATATTCAACATGCCACCGTTCTCCTGTTGTTCTATATCAAAGGAAAACACATAGGATAAACACCACAGAGAGATCCTCCGTCAACTTCAAAGGTGGTTGTTCCATGTATCCCAGACACGACTAAGGGGACTGCCATAGGACTGCCGCTCCATTGACCCCCAAAACCACCCCAATGTAGGCATATATGGCAGTTGCATGGAGTGTTTGGGTATAGTCTTGCGCACTTTTTCGACCACTCCTTTGAGGACTAGGCGGAGCCATGCCCTACGAAGAGGATGGCGAGCGGGGAAACCGATGCCCAGATGTGGCGAAGTTGGGCCAGCCTGTGCTATCCTGTGCAACGGCGAGTCATGGTGAGACTTGCAGGGCTACACTCAATCGCTACTTTAGTTCTTTTGGATGACAGGGGACCATGGTTTTGACTCCACCTCATGGGTGATGACGCATGAGCCAAGCAGCTAGTTGTGCATGAACCCAGCATTGTGCAGTGAACCCTTGGACTGTATCAGTGAATGATGCAATGCCCAAACAAAGATACACTGGAGATAGTACTGGAGATCACTCAAGAAATATTCAATATAATATGAAGTTACGTCATTTTGGCGCAGGCCTGTTTCATGAAGCCGTTCAAGTCCATCGTTATTTGTTTCGGTATGGCTCAAGAAAGTCAAACATTATTCAATCGCAGATTGAGGGTTTGCTGCTTCTCACCAATCTAAAGCACAATCTCAGAGATGCTTTTAACGCACGTTTTTTTGGGTGGATAATCGGGGGACCCAAGAGAGTTTTATTTGAGACTCTTCTATTTTGCGGCTTGACCTTGCTCGTGAGGCTTGCAGGGTTACCCTGTCGTATTGTTTCAATATGAAACAAGCTAGTCAAGGCCAGTTGGTAGAAAGGGATCCAGACTATCAGGACCATCAGTTTGACCCACTGATTTGAAGTTTTTAAGAGAGGCCCACGGATGTTCCATATGTTTTGCCTTACTTGTTCAAGGTCATGGGATCTCAACTACAGCCAGCATATCGATGGCATGGCAGAGAACAGGTGGACAGACCACGTTTTGAAGAGGTTCTTTCCAACGTACAAGCTGAGCAGCGCGCTTGTCGCGCACTTCGAGTCAGACCTTCAGCGTTGTTAAAGTTGAAACTTGGGAGATGATGTTGGATGCTTTGAACGCTGACAAGTCTGACAAGCTGAGCATCAATCCCAAGCCCAGGACACTTAGAGTCAGAAGGGAAGTCAACGGATCTTAGTCACGCCTATGACGGAGTTTGCATACTTAAAGCTTCCTCGGCAAATGTTCTCAAAGCTTCCTCACATCGTCAGGCCCGGGCACAAGAAGTTTGATGCCTACAAGCTCCCAAAGTGGGTGCGGGTCCCCTTTTCATCGAGCGGGGATCCTGGGGGTCCTTGCATACCCCGCAGCCCGCGGGGTTTCGCAGAGCTGAGTCGACACGTGAAGAACACACGTTTCAGAAATCCGAAGAATTGGCCAAGTGGTACTGCAAAGACCCAAACGCCTCAGCCTGGTTCAGATTTGGATGCAAAACACATATTGTAATATAATATATATATATACATATGCATATTTGATGTCCTACCACTGGGACTTGTCATCAAATGCAGTGATCACATGTGATCACAGACCTTTCTCTTGATGGTAGAGAAGAAACTCAGCGATGAACATAAGGCTGGTAATCGGCCAAACGGGCGGCCATGACTGACTCCAAACTATACCTTTTGCCGGGGCATAAAGCCTTTTCTGATCGCGCTTACTGTTGGGGTGTCCTTTAGGAAACCTACATAGTTTGGATCGAGTCTGTCCTATTACCTGTAACAGTCAGTAGACAATTGTCACGTATTAGGACTATTTTAGAGAAAGGCCTTTACTGACCACCATCATCCACTGTTACTGGTAATAGGATATTCCCAACAAAAAGAATGAAATAGTGTAGAGTAGTCCATTGGACACTCGCTTCTTGGAAGCAGCTGGTACATTCCTTGAAATGATCACGCAAGCGGAGCGGAGTTCACCACCTGTTTGGTACTCGGAAAACTCATGGTCATCCGAGTCCTCGAAGGCCATGCCATCCACTTCGATATATTTCGATGAATTCAGGGAGTGTCAGTCAGTGGATCACGCCCATTGGGCGGGATTGGGGACACCCCACGAGAAACACGACCCCAAGTAGTTGTTCCTTTTTTTGTGGAACTGGATCTTCACCCCGTGCACCTGACCGTCTCAACTGAGTGCCTCACCCTTCTGCCCCTGGGCGCCCTCGGTCAAAGAAGGTTGCCAAGACGCCAAACGCATCTCGCGGGCGGTGGCGGTGCTTTTTGAACATTGAGGTGAAGCATCCTTTGTCCCATCCCTTTAGTGGCATCCCCATTACGGTTCGGCACCCAGAGATGGAGGGAGGGCTGCGCAAGGGCTTTAGTAGAAAGTGTTTGTAGCTGTTACACTGTAAACCTTAGAATGAGAATCGGAAAGGCTGCAAAGGGACTGGACGACCTCGTTGAAGCAATGGTTTGTTGTTCTTTCCATCAACGATGGGAAGAGGCGGAGAGGATCGGAGAGGGATGGAAGGAGACAGGGGTGTCAAATGCGAGTGTTTCTGTTCAGATGTCATGTTGTTTAAATGTTCCACTTTTTTGAATTTGTTGTTTTAGATGACCTTCCACCTTGAGTGTGTACCAGGCCAAGGTCCAGCAGGTGTTTGGTCGGAAGGTGATGCTGGCGCTGGTTTTTGATAAGTACTGTGACCCCACCTTGTTCACTGGGTCTTGGATCTACAATGGTCTCGGAGTTGATGATTACCTTATAACAACACAGTTATCTACCAAACAAGCTTGTTCCTTCCTGACATCATCAGCTCGCTTTGGTTTTGTCGCGGGCACTGCGTTAGAATGTTTGAATGAGATGAGATCAACACGTTCGCTCTAGAAAGTCGGTGAACAACCTGTTTGAATCACGCAGCCCTTCGACCAAAAGTTCATCGCTCCGAAGAGCAAGTTCATCGACTCCAAGACGTTGAGGTTGAAACAGGTCATGTTTCACAGGGTCCCTGATGGGTAAAGGGTCTTGGGATGTCTTGGGGTCTTGTGCTATTTCTGAGGAGATTGCCCAAGATCAACCCTGCAGATCACATGACCCTTCACACATTGTGACAAGGGATTTGCATCTTATGGACCATCACTGACGAGCAAGCAGCACAGCATGGCGGTGCGAGAAGCCTCTTCGCCTCCAAGAAGCCTCCAGAAACAGGTCTCATTGCTAGGGTCTCACCGGCATCATGGACATTTCGGGTGGAGGGAAGTCACTGGAGATACGCTTGGGCTGATTGGGGTGTCTAACACACCCTCAACGGATCTCGAATGGTGCAGAGTCTGCGCTCGTGCCCAGCCGGATGCCTACGCCTATGCCTGTCTGAACGGCTCGTGCGGGGCTCAGAACAAAAACAAAGAAACACCGACGTGAATCCTTGTGACGTGAACACTATTTATGAATAATGTTTTTGCCAAAGGGTGATGAGTGTTTTGATAGGTGTTGTATTAAGGGTTGACATGAGATCCTCTTACATCTCTGGGTTTTAGATGGTTTTAGATATGATTGAGATTACTTGTTTTAGAGTTTGTCCTTAAAACCTGTCCACGGAAGCTGGAGGGTGGTCCCTTTTGGCGTGTCAGTCACCCCGCCCGGGTCGCAGTGCGACGGCAAAGACCTGTGACGTTCTCAGTATGCCGCGATCGTCGACGCGTGATGACGGGCTTCGACCAGGGTGTCTCCGTTCAGATCGGTCTGTTTTCATGTGGACTTGTCAGGCCCAAAGGTATGGAAGGCGAGATCTTGGAACGTTGTGCTGTGGGTGTGGGACGGACCGGTGGAGACTTTGTGGCCCAGCACAACTCATTGTCCAAGTTTCCTTGTGCTCTTCTTCCTCCTCTTCTTCTTCCAAATGGTGGATTCAAGACCCCGTCAACCACAGCATCATGAATCATGGGGGAAGATTCACCTCACGCCGCACCTTGGATCACTGAAAAAGAACAAGGGAAAACCCATCCTCCTTATCCTCCTTCGCCGAACTCGGCACGCTTCTTCACCTGGGTGTCGTGTGTCTCACGGCCTCTTCACGACCTCTTCACTCCCTCTTCACTCACATCGCTCGAGGCTGGATGGCTTGACCAACTTCTTAGGATGGGGACCGGCGCACATCGCCCGAATGCCCCAGATGCGCACGCGCGAGCGGAGGGAAGAGCGGTTCGAGGCCGGTTCCACGTGACATCGGGATGCGGTTCCACCCCGGACACGATGTGTGGGGAATGGCATTGGGCATCATTGGACGATTTCTTTTCGGTCTTGCTGATCCGCTGGCTGAGGCATGCATGTATGGAAATTTGGACATGCTGAAGGCCTGGCGGTTGTGAGACTGATCTCCTGACAGAAGAGTCTTCGCTTTCAGAAGACCTGACATGTTTGTCACTTGCCCTTGCCCTAGTAAAATAGTAAAGAACACCTCTTCTCGTTCATCTTCTGAGCACTCACTCTGAGTGATGGCGGCCTCAGTCACCTTTTCTTGGCTGCTGACGTCCTCTGGAAGAAACCGCGCCAAACGGACGTCATGGCCTAACCTCTCGCGAGCGGACTCCGCTCCATTGGCGAGGCGTGCACGGAGCGAGAGCTCAGTGCTCAGACCTTCAACGGTGAGACGCTCGGGGCGCCCAGGAGGTTCGTGAGAAGTGGAGCAGGAAAAGGATGGAAAAGGACACGAAAATCGCCTGGGTTTGCTTCATGAAGGCGATGTGTTAATTTTCCCAAGCTGGATACATCATGGTACATCCCCTTCTGCATTTGTTGATTCAAGCTTTCCTGGACAAATCCAAGAAGGTGATCAACATGTCTTCCGGAGTCCGGATCAGGTCTTACACCAACCAGGAAAAGACTCAGCATCCGTCTCCAGCCTCCAGCCGTCTCCGACGGTCCGACCCAGACGCGACCCGAGACCAGCCCCCGAAAGACGAACTGGGACCGTCTGGGGGTCTGGGGGGCTTCGAAAGCCAAGTCCGGTGTTCAGGGACATGGGGCTGTGAGTTTGGAGCGTCTGGGTGTCCTTCCTTTTCCACTCAGATGACTCCATACTCCAATGCAATTGTTCCATGGACCAATGGAAGGTCCATAATATGAATGGTCCAAGACCGTCAAAACTGGGTCAAAACCATCAGGCAGGGCCAATCTGTGACTCTCCAAAAGACTTGGGTCATGAATGTAACTGGTGGTGATGAAATTGAGCCGGGCGGAGCTATACAGGGAGTTTCCTAACCACTTGCTGGAAATTTTACCATGCTGGATGTTATATCCAAGGTTCGCTGGGCGGAGGTTGCGTGCAATCCTCTTAGAAGTGCAGAGATTCTTACAGATCAGGACTAGCCTGGTTGGCAGATGCTGGTTTCTTTGCTCCCTCTTTCAAGGATCGGTTTAGCAACTCCCCAACAAGTATGACTAATGACAGGTGCATTGAATATTGAATCATGGCCAAAGTCTATCTACACCCAGTCCTGCAGACCCTTACTTCACATCGCCCCTAGAGAAGTTCAACCATGTTCAACCTGAAAGCAGGTCTTCCTACATCCGCGGTTGACCGTTCCTCACCAAATTCTTCATTGGACTCATCACTTTTCAGCAGGAGCATCGAACGATTTGTTTATCTTTACTAAATAATACGTAATTATAATACGTATTACCCAGCTTCTTCAAAGTGACCTTTTGAAGGTTCCTAAGTGACCCTTAGGAGGCTTAAGTGACCTCAAACCAGGTTATCAAAAGGTTTTGTGTAATATGGTGTACTCCCCCACATATGAACATGGAACCCCACATCCACTTGGCTGTAGAGGTGAATGGTCGAACCCACACGTCAATTCTCAGGCTCCATGTGGTCCGTTTCCCACTATTTGCCACAGGGCATATAACATATGCTGATCTCTTGCTGACTGAAGATCCCGATGGCTTCAGCACACAAACCAGCTTCTCGCACCCCAGGCCTGCCTGGTATGCCGTGCGCTACGGCACCTCCTGGTGCGGGAGTGGAAGTGACGAGAAGTTGTGGTTGCAAAAATGTTGCAAATAGATCGAAGACACTGGTTCCTATACAGTAAAACGTGTTGTACGTCATGTTACAAAAAGCAAAACTTGTGTTTTTTGATTCCATTCTATGCCAGTACTCTATGGATCGAATGTGTGTAGGTATAAACGCCTGGATAATTGGATGATCACGCTCACCTTTGAACTGACTTGCATCCCACTAGCATCCCCACCGCGGGTGGCGCGGCCACTGCGTGGCTAGGTGCTTGCAGTGGCTAGTGGAGCACGGAGCTGATACCACGACTCCGGACCTCAATGGCAACACCCCTGGACAGCAGCTCGGTTGGACTTGATGTTTGGCGCTTGGAGTGGCGACTAGTTTGGCGGTAGGGCCTGGCATAAATCATTGAGTTTGTATGGGTTTGTGCTACGTAATTACTATCTATACTTAGAAGTCACCCCTGCTTGAACTAGACGGGGTTTCTCCGATTCCGCGACCGGTATTTGATAGTCTTCGATCAAATTGAGGACAATGGTGTGATCATATATAGAACCTCTCGTGGCCATGTTGCTATTCACAGCAAATCTAAGGTCAAACAAAAAGGATCTAACGCATAAATTTAAATCAAGGTTGGTAGTTGATATTCATGTTTTGGGTCCAAAGACTCTCATTGTTCACGGTGCTTGGTGATGGTAGCACGTTTGTACCTCTCACAGCTGTGAAATCAATTGAAATCAATGCAGAATCAGGAAGGGCAGCTTTCAATAGCTGGCAAATGGCAGTTGTGACAGAGAGGCATCAGCTGTGGATCACTTTTACAGGTACTGTACATTGTATCACTATATATAATAGCATCGAATCAACACCTTGAATACATTCCAGACCTACTTGTTGTCACATCGCGTTTCTTTGCCTCCTAGACCTTCATCGAGAAAAAGCCGCATGCATGAAAACCCGTCCATGCAGACACCGTCAGACCTTGCTTTCAGGCTGGTCTATCTCAACAATCGGAATGACCAACCTGAAATGGAATGGCTCGAGGCCGTCCCTTTGGTGTCCAGATCCCACCGGTTGGAAAACGTCACGTGACGGAGGATGAGGACGAAGAGCCCAACGGATCTACAACCCCAGACCATATCAATGGAATATTCAAGTATTATGGGATAGATTCATTGATATGAACAATGGTATATTCCCATTAATGGAATATGGGATAGTTTCATTGATGATGGAATAATAACGGATACCTACATTCATGCATGGGTCATGTGGATCGGATGTGGGGCCCATGTACTGCAACGATTGGTCTCATGGAGCCCTCCAGAGGCCATCTCTACATCGCCTCCAGCCCACAGAAGTCAAGGACTTGTGTAGGCGAACGTCCGATGACCGTCACATCGGGGTTCGATGGTTCTGGTCGATGGTTCGGAATTGCGTCATCCCACCTGAGAAAGGATGGTTCTGGAAAGCCAGGCGGCGATCAAGGGTGAGCTCACCGACAAGAAGAATCAGCAAGCTCAGGCGCAGCCGTGAGTGAACAGATGTGAAAGGTAAAGCAGCAATAGGCAATGCCCCACTAAAGCCACAAACTCTTGGGTTCTAGAATGGATCTTAATAAGTTGTAACAAGGTATTTGTGAATCGTCCACGTTGTACCTTTGATCTCTTGCAGTTTACTTTGCAGCGTTGTGTATACCTTAAGCAGGCAGCACCCAATAAAAGGGTGCAAGAACATGGCTTCAGAGGAGTAGATGAGTAGATGATTTTTTCTAAACGGGGTTTCTGTATCCCAACACGTTTGGAACTGGCCCGACATGAACCTGGATGGATCGCTGGCCGCTGCTGGATCGCTCGTGTGGCGGCTGTCATCGCGCAAGCGTGAGGAATACAAGTTGAAGAAGTGGCGCTTCGAAGGCGTGGATGAAACGCTGATGAGTGACGCTTTCGACTCCGGACTGCAACAGGGGGGTGCAATGAGTTGCAAGATGATCATATCCATGGTCAGCCTGGTCGAGCCAGGGATTTGGAGCTCTTGGGGCCTAGGGCTTTTCCTCCAAGTGTCCCGGTGGGAGACATTAACAACTTCACATATGCCATGGCCGCGATGCCCTTGGAACATACAGGTCAATCCATGTTGGCTTGGATCCAGGTGGAAACGTCATCCAGAGGGATACCGTCGTTTTCCGGCCTTGGCCGGAGGGTTCCGCCGGCGATGCCGAACTTTGGGGCCAAGCGAGCGACATGGTGTTTGTTCATGTTTGTTCAATCTGGGTGGAAAGATGTTTAGTCTCAACAGCACATAATCAATGCCGTAAGTCGCCATAAGTCAAGCACACATTGTTGCCGTAAGTCAAGCACTTGGGGAGTTGGTTCCAGTGGTTCCGCATCGACTGGTGGCTTTTCTCGACTAGGCTTGGACGACAAGGCTGAAGATTGGCTCGATAAGAACAAGGCCAAGCAACGCAAGCATTTGTCCAAGACCAAGAGCAGAGCAGTTCCGCGGAAATACCGCGCACATCGCAGTGACATGATCACTGGGAGGATTTGCTGGAGATGAATTTTAGTCAGTCTTTGAATCAGTTGAAAAACACATCGCGTATATTGCATTGGTGAGTATGACCGAAGAGGCGGGGGTTCCACGAGCACATGAGCACAAACCAGCTGTCTTAGCGGCAGCCAGACAACCTGGAGAACAATGAGTCTCATAAGCACGGGGAACTGGAAACGAAGTTTCAGCAAGTAGAACACCTTCAATCTGACCAGTGGGGTGGTACTAGCTGCTTAATTGTGACTTGTACATAATACCCACATCTACCCACAGATTACATGGGATGCACACAAGGTCCTAAACGAAGATGTTTAATGGGCTTGGTGATGTTTGTTTCTCCAAAGTCCTTTGCAGCCAGCTTCAATATTAAGCCCCCAACTCCAAACCATTCCGTTGGATTTCTGTGTTCCATCGCCGTTGGGTTTTGATCAGATCTGCAGACATCCTACCAAAGACAAGCAGGGCTCCCCTTCTCACCCAAAATAAGGGCTCCTTTAAAGGATGCACATGTGAGTGTCCCACTCGGCCTCCGCCTGCTCCAGCAGTACTTCGTTTCGCCTCGAAATCAGACTCCCCGCCCCTCCCACGTGTGGGCGTGCGCGTCAGCGATGGGCAGATCGACCGATTTGGCTGAGGTATAAGACGGGTGACTTTGCAGACCCTTATCCTTTGCCACCCCCTGAGGACGGGACCATGGACCATGCTGGACCATGGGGACTGTTTCCCCAACTGGGGGACTGTTTTGGAACGGATGGTCGTGTACGGTGGTCGTGGCGGTGGTGAGGACGCAGCGCGGACTGACGTTGGACACCAAGCGACAGGCTTAGCAGGTGAAAAACATTCACCCGTTTGACGAGGTTTGGATAGATTTGTTTTTTCACCAATTCTATGTTGCACACTTTTTAGCAGTGGCAAGTTTGTGACTAGTTTTGAGGTGTGTTGGTATGGAACATGCTCCCATGTTGTGTCAGGTCCAGGCATTTCTTTGTGCGTTTCGAATTTCTCTTTTAGGCATTGCCAGGTAGCACCAGGGGCTGTTTCCTTTTTCAATCGAACCATTCATCAAGCAGTGCACAGGACGGCAAGCAGTGAAGTTGCTCGGGGGAAAGAGGATGATGCGGATTGGATGATGTGGATCTGAGATCATGGATGTGGATGATGTATGTATACTTGGATGACGTGGATTGGGGCAAGCAGTGTTGTTGCAGATGGATTGAATCAGATCTGAGGCAAGAGGTGCACGTTTCTCTACAGATCTCTTTGTCCGTATCCTTCGGACGTCCGCATCACCGCCCGCCCCGGTTCCGGCGCCGCGAGGAGCTTTGGGCCAAGATGGATTTGCCGCTTCACCTCAGGGCGATGGAGATGGCGGACTCCCCATTCACCTAAAACAGACATTCCTATAGGTGTCATGTTTTGGACATATCCAAGAACGAAGAGATTAGAAGAAGACAGATTTGTAAGGGCCGAAGAAGACAGATTCTCTTCCTGAAGATCAAAGTTTGCTTGCAAGCCCAAAGATGTGAGTTTGGTGTTCCAATCTGTTTCATTACTTCTTCTGCGGCCAGAGTTAGACTCCAGTGCGCCTACATAAAGGACACAACGTGCTTCAGGATATGGGCGTTTGTTTAAATAGGCGGACCCCCCTGGTCCAACGGATAGGTAGGTCATTGTCCTTCTTCCACAGGGTCGAGCTGGGAGGTCTTCCTACAATTTGTGAACCTCCGAGATGTGTGCTTTCGAGTTGTGGAAGAACCATTTGATATCGACCAACACATTCAAATGGTTACAAATGGTCCAACAATACCGGGCATGTATCAGGCCTTTACTACCCATCATCATCTGAACGTCCTACTTTCACTACCGATCAATGGGATGCCGGCCGATCCTAAGGCCCCGATCGACGATCCCACGGCCACCGGCCAAGAGCAAGCCGCCTCTGCCAGTGGCCATGCTCTTCCCGGGACAGGCGGCGTGGACGAACAGTGTGGGAGAGGCAAAGGGGGTCGAGGTCGGTCTCCAACGGCGAGGTGAATGTGTCGAGTTGCTTCCTGTGACACAAGGTCCTGTGGTAGAAAGTATTAGAAAGTAGAAACCCCTTCTTTGCGGTCGATATCAAGTGAGGAAACCAGGTTAATCAGTTAATCCGTGATGTTGGAACTGGACCAAATCCCAGACAATCCATGGCATATTTGCATACATTGGGGTTTCAGGGGTCAGTGTAGGTAAATATTCCATATAGAGTGTTTGGGTATCATCGAGTATCTACCCTCATCCACGGCAGCTGGGAGCCTTCACCATCTGGGCACATCCGGCTGCAATTGGACGATCGGCCTGCGGCCAGGGCTCCCAGTACAAGGGCATGCTTCAGAACTGCCTGGAAATTCCAGCCGTCGAGAAGATGACGAGCCCTCAGCGGATGGGACGGCGTATGGGACGGTGCGGACCGGTGCTTTGTGCCGGCCGCAGGAAAGCACTGGGTTCACTTTTGGAGGATCATAGGGCCATATAGGATGCCAGACGGCCGATGGCGGCTTCGGTTGTTTCGTACCAGCCCCCGAGACTTCCGGTCGGATGGCGGCTGCGGTAGCGGTCGTTACGCTCGCTTCGGGTGGAAGAACGTCTGGTGGCGTCCGCATGGTTGGAGACAGACCCGCCATGACCCGCCTCTCATTTCTTCGACTCCACCGGACTCACTTTTGAAGCGCTCCCTGTTCCCAGGCGAAAGAAAGGCGTGTTCTTCCAATCCCCACCAAATCAGACCAAATTCACCCAAGAGAAGTCCGCTGAGTTGCTCACTCCGCACTAACTTCTCACATCCCCTTCCTCTCTCCACCCCATCTCCACTTGCGCATCTCATGAAACCACGGTGCGCTCGCCGTGGAGCGCCATTCGTGGCGTCCGGATCGAGGCTGGAGCAGGCGGACAAAATCCTCGGCTGGAGCGTGAAACAGCTCTGCCTTGAAGGTCCCGAAGAGCGCTTGGCCGAAACGAAGTATTGTCAACCCATCATGCAGCTTGGACTTCCAGGACGGAATTAAAGAGATGGAGGAAAGAGGGTGGGAGGTGTTCATTCAATCATCCGCCGGATGGGGTGGATCTTTGCAGTCCTAAAATGTGCTTCAAGCGTCCCAGAGGCCCAGGTGTCATGTGTTCCACCATGTTCCACGTCTGACGTTGCTCTTCTTAGGAGTTCGGACGTGGCCATGGTGCCAATAGTGATGGAGGTCTGGGAGGGTGATGGTCAACCAAAGTCCTTATGCTCCCAAGTCACCCTACCCTCGCCCTCATGCTCCTACTCCATCCTACTCCATGCTCCGTTGGCCGCTCCGTTAAAACCTCGTTAGGGTTCGTCCAAAACACGTCCAAAGACCCTGGAGGCTTACGTCACATGTGTCGAAAACCAATCGTTTCTGCGGGTCGTTGGGCTGAAAGAAAGGCTCCGGTCATTTTCGAGCCATGATTCGATCGGTGCCATGAGCTGTGTCGGGGAAAACAGACCCAGACACTCCATGTATGCCATATTTACCTACATTGGGGTGTTTTTGGGGGTGAATACATGGAGTGTCTGGGAGAAGCCGCTCAAAGCATCTCAGCCACCGCAAGCTGTGTCGAAAAGCCAACCGGTCGCGGCTCCCCAGGTTCATCGCCGGTGTGGCTGGAGTCGAACTCATGAAGCAAACGAAGCATGGGCTGCAGAAACGCGAGGGGTGCATAGCGGGTTTGGGCAGGCTTGAACGGCTTCACAATAGACCCATAGGCCTGGAAAGATTTGGACATTGGATGACATTGGATGTTTTTCGTTTTTTTCTCCCAACTTTGCGAATCCGTCGAACAACGGAGCCAACAGAGCCAACCTCCCACACCGCCATTCTATGCCTGCTCAGGAAGCGAGAAATGGTGGATCGGGTGCAGGCTCGGCTGATGTGCTTCACTGCGCGCCCACGGACGTGTCCCAGGAGTCATGGGGCCAGGGGTCCGATGAAAGGCAAGTGTTTGTCTCAAGAGACGTTCCGTATTAAGATGTACTCGTATTAAGCTCACTATATAGTATATCTCTATATATATATATAGAATCTATAGTACTCGTAATGCTATAGTATGGTACAGTCCCAAACAATTGAGGTTTCCAAGGATACTGGATGGTGGTTTCAGATGTTTTCATGTTCAACCTTTGCTTGATATATTTTGTTTTCCACTGACAAAGATTTTCGTGAGTTGAACCTAGCATTGGACTTGCCAGAAACTTTCAACACCTGAGACTGCCAAGGGCACTCCGAACGGTGTTTGAATGCCAGGTTTGAAAGTAAGACAAGCGTTTTCTTGTTTATTTGTCTCCACCACCTAGGATCCAGCTAAGCCGTAACAACCCGAAAAAGTACATTTTTTTGAAAAATGTTGATTTTTGCTTTTGGTATAAAAAATTTAATCTTGAGTATGTATTGAGTAAAAGGGTAGGTATTGCGTAATTGCATAAATAACATTAATTAACATATTAAATATAACCTGTTGGTCATAACATGCATTGCAGTATACTTGATTCATCATATACTGTTGGTCATATACTTGAATATCTCCGGGCAGGCTTGCTTGGAGGAGGCCATTGTCTACATGAGAGGCTCCAAGAATTTGATGGTGCCAGCCCGATGGAAGAACACCTTCCCATATTGTATATAGATATAAATAGAATGCGATCGTGATTAACGTGATATAGGAGAAAATGGGTTGAGCATGTATTTGGACTGGTGAGCATGTATTAGGTAACACGTGACCCGGAGAAATAGAAATTAAGACCCGGAGAAAATACTGACCCGGACTAGACCCGGAAAAACCCGGACTCTGAGCGGAGAAACCCGGATTCTGAGCGGAGATCATGAGCATGTAATGGTGTTACATGAGCATGTATTGTGTAATCCAGTGATTGTTGCATGTAGCCATTGGGGATCACATGGTGCCACTACTGAGCCGTGTTTGGAGTTGTTCAGACCTTGTTGAGGGCGCAGTCATGCTTACTGATGATGCTGTGCTGGCAATGAAGAAGAGTCTCCTGTCAGAGACTCATGGGAAGTCGCATATACTGTACTATTCATCAGAGACTCCTGTCTGTACTTGATTCATCATATACTGTACTATTCATCATTAATCATAACCCGGAGATATTCAAGTTGAGTATGTATTTAGTAAAAGTGTAACTTTTTTAAGAATAAATTGAAATTATTATCATTGAGTATGTATTTCTCAAAAATGTACATTTTGAAAGACGGTGTAACAATTCTAGCACTTTTGGTTTAGCTGGATTCCAAGTGGCATCAACTAGCCCATGGATTGACACGGAAACGCAAGCATGGAACGCAAGCCTAGTCGATCCATTCTTCCTTACATGGCAGCTTTTTAGGACTATTTACCGAACAAAAAGACTGGGTTAGGTCCCTTGCCACGGTTCCAAAAACCTCCAGATCCGAGCAAGTCGAAGACGTTCGGTGATCCGCAGGGGGCCGTAGGGATGCGTAGGGACCGCCCGTCGCTGGGCCGAAGGCTGTCGCTGGCTTGAGCCTCGGTGAGTACACGGCACTATGTGCACGGCCCAGAGCTCTTTCGCGCGGCGCGGCGCCGCGCCACGATCTTCGATTTCGAGTTCCATCGATGGAGTCCCAACTTGTTGCTGCGGTGCTGGTTTACGCTCGCTATGGATATTCTTGAGCCACCCGGGAAGAAACCCACATGGAACCTGAAAATTGACCAGACTGGAAGACGACTTTCCTCTACAACCCAGTGGTTTTCAGGTTCCATGTTAATCTTCCAGGGTGTATGCTGGTTTTGCGAAGATCTCCGTTGGATGTTTTTTCCGACTCAATACTAGACAACAGAGCCAGACCAGGGTGTTTTCTTCAATTCTGAAGGGCTTTGTGCTTTCAAAACCAATCACTTTTACTTGCAGGTATGTAATAGTACCCCCAGCTCGCACACCAGGGGTCACATCCAGTGATATACATACAGCTGAAGCAGAAGACATAGGGGCCCTGGAAAAACAACAACTACAACTACAATTGAAGGTTCATTTGATGCATGTATTCGGATGTATTCGCGAAGTATTCGCTTTCTAAGAGCAATCATTTCTCAAAGCCCTGCCAATCGTTTCTCGAAGCCCTGCCGCTGGACACGAGCAATCAAGAGCAGCTGGCACTCTCTAAAAAACATGGTCACGTGGAGTGAGTTCACCACCTGTTTGGTATTCGGAAAGCACAAACTGCTGCGCCTCAAGGTTCAGTGAGGTTCAGTGATGCTCCTGCGACGACATCTGCACTTCGAGCTTTATAAAGTGCTGCGCCTGCCACGAAATCTGCACTTTGAGGTTCACAAAGTGTCGTGCCTGCCACGAAATCTCCACTTTGAGGTTCACAAAGTGCTGCTCTGCACTTTGAGGTTCACAAAGTGCTTTGCCTGCCTGCCACGAAATCTGCACTTTGAGGTTCACAAAGTGCTGCGCCTGTCGCAAAAACTGCACTGCCCTGCCAAGGCGCTTCACCACAAGAACGTGCCAAAGCGCAGCTTTCGCGCGAGATGTTCCACGACTTCTGAAAACGAAACACATGTAGAAAAGTCACGATTCACTGCACCTGTCACGAAAATAGAGCGCGTCGAAGATCACCACCATTATCCAAAGTGCTGCACCTAAAGCCGCTTCGTTCCCTTTGGCGCCTGTCACGAAAAGTCGACTTGGGACCGCCAAAGCACGAGGTTTCCCTTGCGCCTGCCGCGAAAAGTGACCACCATCTCCAAAAATGCGCACGGCACCACAACGAGAGCGCAGTCGCGACAAGCACCCGCTCCGGCCACCCAGATTTCGCGAGCCTGCGCAATCGAAATGCACTTCGAAGATTTCGAGAGGCAGGAACGTATTATAAATAGCAACGAACTAGCCGCACACGAACGCGCGACACCTCGATCAGACACCGGCCCTTAACTTCCTACCGTACGAACCCCTCAGTGTGACCACACTCTTTGGGGAACAGCACAATCATGGGTACGTGTTTGGTGTTTGGGCTTCATGGTCATCCGAGGCCAGGCTATCCACGCAACCACCACGATGAGTTCAGGGAGCGTCACGACACTCACCGTCCAAAAAGGGCTACCGCTTTTATACTCTTTTTATAGGCGGGAGTGGGAGTGTCCCAAATATCATCCCAGACACTGCATGGGGCTGGACGAGGTTTCAGGGGTCAATGTAAGCAAATATTCCATATACATGGAGTGTTTGGGCATGGAATAATATCTCCAGCTTTCGGCTGATCCACTGTTCAGTGTTGGGTGTCGGTTTGATTCAGGTGCTGCTGGAGTGCTGGAGTTTGAGGATGGCACGGGCGACCCAGACACATCCAGACACTGCACGGGAAGTCTTGCAAAGATCGGGGATGGATGGAGGAAAGGAAGGAGAGTCCAGTCCCAAAATTTGCCGACAGCTTCGCAGTGTGTTTGTGGTGTTTTTTGGCAGAGTTCTTTTGTTGATGGCCTCAAACGTATAGAGGAATCCAAGGGAGAAAGGTTTTTGTGCCTTTGCAAGGTCAGGGCTACATCGTTTTTTGATGCTGGCACCAGAATGTTGGGGGTCAATTCATGTCAAGGCTGGATCGGCCTTCAGTCAGGGTGGAAATGTAAATAGTCAATTAATCACACACAATTAATCCATCGCTATAGAATAGAACATCCTCCAGTTAGCTGCTATCTCTCATTTAATTGGTGGCGGCACGGACAAGTTTGGGTTCTGACCTCCAAGTGTGGAATCTATTTCTGTGTCTGGCACAACAGTCGTCGAGCTTCACGAGGATGAGCTCCATTCCACAGTGGGAACATGGAAACTCTGTCAACGATTGCTTGCAGATCGGATTGGATATTCAAGGTTTCGGCAAAGGCTCTTCAGCGAAGGAATCGGCGAATTGACGGATGACATGTGCTTAAGGCCACTGCTAATCGTGCAATTGACAGTCCAAAGACATTGTGCTACTGATGAGACGAGCGAGGAGGAACTGCTCTGCAAATGTCAAGGGAATAGTGTGAGCAAAATTGAGCAGCTACTTCGAACACCACAGGATCCAAATCCAAGAGGTGGAACGGTGGAACCTGCCTAAACTTTGCACCAATTTATGTTGCCACATGTTGCCACTATTGAGGGCCACTTAGAAGTGTTGCGCTTGTTGCTGGAAGCTGGAGTGGAGCAAGAAGCAGCAACAGAAGAGGGAGGAGTGCCTTCGTGGAAGTTGTGCGTTATTTCTGCTCGAAGCTGCAAGCTGGCAAAGATGCAGCAGCTGAAGATGGTGAAACGGCTTTGAGCCGACAGATGTAGCAGTAGAGGATGGGGCAGCGGAATTGTACAAAGCACCGGCATCGCTTGAGGTCCACAAAAAAGATCATCATACTATTATCTACCCTAATCACTACACTCGCCATGATGCGTCGTTCAACAGTCTAGAATTCCCTCTCTCTTACAGTACTTCTTCCCCTTCCCCAACCACTCGCCCTCCCCAACCACGTCGCCCCCCTACCGGCGCCGAAGAGGTCTGCAGCTGGTGAAGCTTCGTGCGGAGGCCATGCAGAAGGCCACCGACCTGGTGCCGCGCAGAGCCCAGAGTCCGCGGTTCACATCCGAGCCGCTTCGAGCTCCGCGGTGCTCCGTCAGCGGTGACTGCCCCAGACTGCCTGCCGCACCTCGGCCCTAGGCAGGCCATGTGCTCCGTGGCGGGACTGGATCGAAACACCGTGGACCGACTATGTCTGGCCCTTATCACGGACGCACCGTTCGCGACGTGACGGACGCAGACATACGCAGACGCAGCGCGCCGATGGACGAAGGTCGGAGCGTCCGACATTTTTGGGGGGTGCAGTGGTTGAAGCACAGAAAAGGGCGTTTGAAGGGGCGTTTGTGTGTTGTTTTGTTGGGTCGGGGCGTTTTGTGTTTTTTGTCCCGCAAAGGACCTTGACAAGCCGAGGTCGAGAAGCAAAGGACCTTGACAAGACCAGTTCCACCCCAGTGTGTCGGATGCCCGGACGGGAGGGAAAACTACACCGGTTCCGCCGACGAGTGGGGGAGCACCTCTACTCTACTCAACTCTTTCACAAAGACCTTTGGAGCTTGTCCTTTTGCTACCAAGTGGGAATGACATGTTACTTGGTGTGAGTAGCGCCAGTTTCTTGAACAAATTGAATCCTGAACAACTTCTTTGTTTCTTCATGTTTCTTCTATTGATGCAGTTCCTTTGACTCACTATAGGTACCAGTTTCTTTTGCCTACCATCTTCCAAGGGTCCTCGTCGTCGATGTCTTGACGCCTTCCATGGAACGACCGGTCGTTCCATGTTCCTCCATGTCTTCCAACTCCCATGACCCTTGTGCAGAGGCTAGTTGAAGAAAGAAGGGGAACACATCAAGACGAGAACGCTTGAAAACTGGCCCAATCCTTGGTTCGGAGCTTGCATGGATGGCTCAGAAGCCCGGTTTGGGCCACTTCCAGTCGTCGAAGTGGCCACGAAACGTCCCACCACCCGGTCCGAGCCGGGCGGAGCCGGTCGGACGGTGAAGCAAAAGCAAGAACTCACGAAACGGCACCTGCCAGGACCTTCAAGGGGTGGTTAATTGACCCCTTAACTGCTAAGGGGCTACAAATAGACACCTCTACTAGGGGGGTGCTGGCAGTGGTGTGCTTCACACCCCAACACCCCCTTCCGGCCAAGCCACTCGAGTCACCAAGTGAAGGCCAGTCCGAAGTCCCCCCCTTCGATGACTCCTGGGGCACCCAGTCCTCAGTAGAGGACCCAAACGCTCCATGGGACTGGTTGGTTGCCCGCGGGTGGTTCTGTAGGCATATTGTGGGCATATATTCCGGTCCAATCCCATGCAGCGTTTGGGGACATGCCTTTCCAGATCAAACGTTGGACGTCCAAGACCAAGCACCAAAGCATCCCCCACGTGCGACCTTCGTCTCCGGACTCCCTCCGGCATCAAGAAGCGCAGGTCAAGTGGCCAACGTCCTGTTCCCTGCTGGCTTCACCTGTGGTGGTACCAAGATTGCCATTGATAAGCTCTGCGAGCTGGCCACCAAGGCGAGGACTCGGTGGGCCGGGGCAACGGGAAGGAAGCAGACAGAACTCATTGAGGACCGGAAGATTTAGCTACATTGACCCCAGGTCAACCACCCCAATTCCAATGTAAATATATGTCAATATTCCATACTTGACAAGGAGTGTGCTTTTTTGTTGGATAAAGAATCCTTGGAATCCGACCCCTTAAAGGCTTGTACCCTCTATAAGCCTCTCTATATATATATATAGGGTCGAGCGGGGCCCCGCCTATGGTGTTGATGGTAGGTTTGCGATCCCACAAGCTTCCAAGGCTCAGCTGTGGACCTGACCACAGTAGGGTTCGGGTGAACCTGGGCAGCGAACTTGGAAAACCACCGGAAACATTGATCGCTTGGACACATGACACAGGGGTCATGATTGCATGAATTACCTTGAAAATATGAATGCCCAAATGCCTTTCTTCTTGGGACTTGTTCGGAGGAGGGGATTGGCCAAGAAATAATTCTTAAGAATTATGTACAATTGCCAAGCCTCTGAGAAGAAATTCACTGCAAAGCCAGCGAAGAATGGAGGGAACTGCTATGAATCGAAGAGAAAGGGGCCTACAATTACCACTGATCACACCACTACCCACCCCCTATAATGCTCGACCTACTATTCCCATCACACCAATAGAATATGAGTATTTTATAAGCCACCCTGAAATGAAGAACACACTGGGACTTCCCCTGCTGGCTACTCATTCTTGCGCAGATATCCCATTCGTTCAGCCGTTCGGTGTGCATGTTCCATCCCACCTTTGGCCTCATTGACCAGATATCCCAAAACTCGAGAAGCAGAAGCTATTATAGTGAAGAAGCAACATGACCAAACATTTGCGAGTCACAACCACGGAAGTGGATGGCACCACCTGTGTGTAGAGGATCCAATCGGCTTCTTGGGGAGTACGTCTCAGTTCACCCCGATTCCACCGCTCGATGCATGAGCTCGCCTTGGAACAAAGGCTCGGGCGTTGCAAGCGCGACCGATTAAGGCTGGGGGGAGGGACGTTGGGACGGCAAGCAGTGAGGGTTTGTGCATAGAGACCATTAATTAAGTGTGAGATATGGAGAGAGCATGAGAAACTCCACAGAGACAAGTAGTGGAGTTGTACGTTGACCTTTAAGGATCTTAAGACAACCGTGAGACAGCGACAGATTTATCTAGGTTTTGAAAGACAAGGGAATTCAGGAGACAGCGAGGTGCTTCGGAACATGTTGCACCAGTGTGCTTCGGTGGACGTAATCCAGTGTGATCCCGCAGGATGAAGCTTGCACATGCATGTCTGACACGGCTAAAGTTTGACTTGCAATGACGTTCATACTTTGATGTTTTAGTGGATTTGAACAAAACAAAACACCGAGAGATCAATTCTTAGCATGGAAGTGGGGAAAAATAGAACACCCTGTTTGTATTAAGAGAGGTCACCAGTGTCTTCCAGGGGTGCATGTCCGGCTGACTTGACTCGCGGGGAGTTCTTTCAGCTCCCGTTCCGTGACCGGCTGACTAGTGACTAGTGGCTTTCTCCAAACTAAGAACTCGACCTATGTGACTTTGAAATCAATTACGTGCTATTTATATACAGCTTCGAACGCAAAGACCGTAAGGGATTGTCAGGTACTCACATGGTACCAAACTTACTTGCTTGTAGGGGCAACTGGTAGCAAGGACGCTACTAGGAACAAAGGGCATCGCTGCTAGTAGCAAGGACGCTACTAGTAGCGATGCACCTTGCTACTAGTAGCTACTTGTTACTAATTAGGAGTGATGCCATGTAATGCCAGGAGCTACTAGTAGCGTCCTTGCTCCTAGTAGCGATGCACCTTGCTACTAGTCGAAACCACAGGTTGTCCTTCTGTTTGGGATCGTCTGCACTCCCGTGGCTGAGCTGAGCCGTCTCCACACACTGCCTGCCCAGACCGGTGGCGGTTTTCACACACCTTTGATGGCACCAGCTGCCGAGGTGCGTGCGCTGCGGCGTGCGGCGTAGTTCGCGGAAACTTGGGCAACATAGGTTTGCAGCAGTCACAAGATTCCCCCTACTGTACAGGTCAGTTGGACCTCATTTTACTAGATTTTACTGAGTTGATAAAGTCAAAACATGCAAAAAACAATAACTATAATGTGTTTATACTCAATCGATCAATCAATTTGGTTTTCAGGACCAGGTTTTACTGGCTCAGTCTTTGGACCTGTAGTCTTCGGTGCTTTTTTGGTACGAGTCTTTACGCAAAGCAATGCGTTCAACATGAACCGATTGCGTGTTTGTTGTTATTTTGCAAACCTTTCATCGGACCGCAAAAAGGAAGAGATGAACCGTTCAACCCGCAAAAAGGACGGACAAATGTTCGATTTCGACTCCCAAGCAACAGAGGTTGAAGGACCCGAACTAGGCTATCCCAGTGCGGTACCCCAGGTTACGGTCCTATTTACGGTCACCAAAAACCTCTCTTGGAAGGTCAACCCATCTTCCTCAGATCCGAAGGCCCTTCGCGCCCACGGCCCCAGGAGCTCACGAAGGCGATCGACGCCACCTTGCCGAAGATGAAGCCGCCCAGGTGGAGACGCTACTTCGGCGCGCGCCGACGTGTCCGGTGGTGGAGAGGGAGCGTGTAAGAGACGAGACGAGCTGTTGAGTTGTTTGCACATGTTTGCACCTTTTATGGTAGGCTCCAGAAGATCAAAGAAGTGTTTGGTGCTTTTTTTTTAGTTGTTATAAAGCTTTGATTTGTTGTGTTTTCTTCCCTTAAGATCAGACCCCTCCTTTTTGTTATACAGATATTTTATAGGGATCTTGCCATATAAGGACTATCCCATGTGTGATTCGTCCTGCAGGTGTGCTGTGTACTTCAACCTCACCGGAAAGAAGATGCCTCCAGGCCTGCAGGGCTGAATTCTGGACGACTGGGCTGAGTGGTGCGAAAGAATTCCCTTAAAACTACGAGGATCTTGGAGAATTTTTTGGGAGAATCTTGGTCCATTCTCAAACGGTTGGATGCTGGGTGGTTGGGTGTTGCACGTGCGGCACGTGCGGCACGTGCCTTGGGACCAAACGGCATCGAGGCTCCAAGCCCTCAGACTTCGTGGAGTACATGAAGAAGTTGGGGACCCTCAGCTCCCGGCCTTGCAAGACGGGCCTTTGAACATGGCCGGACCGAAACGGCTGACTTGTCAAGCCTATTCGCACGAAACTGCACGAAAACCAGTACGTCCGTGGGAGACTCCACTGGAATCATCTCCAAAGACACCCCCCAAATTCATCCCAGTGTGTTTCAGCCCAAGAAGAGACTCCCTTTAAGATCGTCCGTTTTGGTTGCAAGGTTCCAATACCCAACAATTCGCATCGATTTAGATAGATTTGCCCACCCGGGACAGGGGGGGTGACGGTTTCTCCACGACCTGGGTCGAACCGTAAGCGCCCGGTTCGGTGGGTCCCCACCGTGGGCACGATGTTGCGAGCGAGTGGTTTGGCTCGGTTCGGAGGTTGGAATCAGTATGGATATATGGATTCAGTTCGGTTCGGAGCGAGTTGTTTTGCTCGGATCGCTGAATATACGGATTCAGTCGATCCGGACGTTCCCCCCCCCCCCAAAGAAAGGGCTTTCCGATCACGTGTTCCGGGTCCTCACGCGCGGCCGCGGTCGCACGGGCGAGCCCGCGTCCCAAGGCAACTCACCGGTGAAGTGCTGTGGGAACAGACCGTGCGGCAGATGGTCTTCGATGGGGTCGGGGAGCACGAAGGGTCGAATCATGTGTGTTTCTTGGTCTCGGGGGGCACCGCTAGAACTGAAGAGAACAGAAGAGACAACATTACACTAGAGAGAACATGTTTGAGAACATAAGAGAAAACAGAGAGAACAGAAGAGAACATAAGAGAACAGAAGCACCAGATCGAACATGACACAAAGCGCCGCAGTTTTCGTAGAAAAAAGCGACGGCGACCGGTCCGGGCACCGTGAGTTGTCGAGCGACGGTCCGTGAAGTCCACCGGCAGTGATCTCGTCGTTCGATGCGCAGTGAGTTCGGCCTGGATTTGATTGGAAAGTCTGGAGTCAACCACATGATGATGACATGATATGTATTATATGTGTGTTTGTGTTTTTTTTTTTTTTTTAAATAGTTTTATCAGAATATATCGATATTATGATGATCATATGGTTTCATGTGCGATGATATTGCCTTTGCTTCCAAGTGTTGGTCGCTTGTGTCCTACCAATGCACGTTGCTGATGTATATAGTAGTTTTGAAGTGGCTTGTGGCTGAGCCAGGTGCTATCCCCAGCCTCAGCTTTGTTGCCTCTTGCTGTTCCTGCAGGTCACCGGGGTGCCTTTCACAAACAGAATCCACCTGCAAACACTATTCTGCGTGTCTATATGTTTTATGTTTCGATTCCGATAAATCTGGGTCCACAACAAAACTGCATAAAGCCATGATTACCCCTCCTCCTTCGTCTTTCCATCCATCTTTCTATCTCCACGCAGTGTTTCATTTTCCACCAACAAATGACTATTGCTGGGTGGATTAATAGAGGGGACACCCGACACCTAATCACCAAGCTGTATATATGGTACATCAACCAAGCTGGCTGGACCCGAGGTCAAGGACCAAGCTGGACCCAAGGTCAAGGACCAACCAAGCTGGACCCGAGGTCAAGGACTTCTATGAGGTGGGCCCCTTGAAGCAGCTGAAGTCGATGATTAAGAGGCCGGCCCGCTCGCGAGAACCGCACCTACGGCCGGGGCGCGTTTTTGTTCGCTTCCGCTGCGTGACCGATCAGCGACCGATGGAAGTCGCCCGGATCAACCGATGAGCTCAGATCCCATCAGCTCGTCCGGTCGTCCGGATGCTTTGGGAAACGATGCGAAAACGGGTCGTGTTGATACCCGTCCCATTCCACCGAACCGTTTTAGTCCACCAAGGACGCCTTTTGGCAGGTCAAGCAAGGTATTCTGGTATATTCTGGTTGTCCCATAGAACGTCATGAATATATCCCAGACACTCCATGTATGGCATATTTAATACATTGACCCCTCAAAACACCCTAATGTGTATATATATGTATATATATTTATATAATGGAGGATCGTCCAAATGGCCATTGCTTTGAACTCGTGCACTAAGTCCAAAGCCTGCATCTTTCTCCAGGCGACTTGTGCTGGCGGTAACATAGGTCATCGGACCGGATATGATATGCGGTTCATCACTCACTCGTGCGGTTGAGGCAGGGGTGAGTGATGTTCAAAGCAACGATATGTTGGACAACACCCCAACCACAGCATCCGCTGTTTCGACGGACCAGCGCCATTAGTCGTGTCTGGGTTCGAAAGACTCATGGAACTTGAAAAACCGCTGGCTTCTATAGAGGAACACCATCGGCGGCTGGTAGAGGGGGCCAGGAAGTTGGGTTTTGGGAGGCGACGAACTCATGGCAATTCGGTTTACTGTCGATGAACATCGAGGAATTTCCTGAAGCGAACGTCGGTGGTCAAAACCAAGGTGCCATGACCCACAGCCATCGACCAAACGCGAAAACGAAAAACGTGTCCGTTTTCAATCGATGCGCGTTTGCAGCGCAGGATAGATCAGGATGCCTTCAAGCGGACCGAGAACATTCCAGTCTGAGACGTAGTAGAAGGGGCGATCTTCCGACGAGAAGACGGCATACAGCGGCAGCACGACAGGTGATGGTGTTCGGAGATGTTTATGTTCAACCCTTACTTGGGGATGATTGGACCCTTACTCACGATGCGTTGAAAACACCAACTGCAGAGCATATGCAATATCTGCAACACTGTGGATCATTTCCAGATGTTTCGAACGTGAACAGACATGACAGCAGTGTGATTCGGAGTAGTGATCCAAGCATATGACAGATGCGAAGAGATGACAGAAGGAGGTACTGGTAACATGATAACAACTCCATCTTCACTTGCCCAGCCAGTTCCGGTTCGCCAGGAACTCGACGTAGCATTGAGTTCTTCCCTGACCTTTCGGTGTCCAGAGTCCTTGTTCGAAACCAGAAACTCTTCCATCCATCGGCGGATCTTCACAGGATCGGCTTCACGTTAGGCAACCTCTGTTGAGTGCTGAAGTGCCTGGCTTACGCGTTGAACAAAAGGCTCCGTTCGAACACTGGCTCCATATTTCATGGCAGTTGAGAAGGAGGTGAGAGAGCACAGAGCTGATGGAAGATGGATCCGGAAAAGACCTTGAAGAATGAATATATAGTACAACAACCTAATAAAATGAACAGAACGAAACCCCTGATCAATCACCCCTGTTTTATTCTTGTCATGACCTATCTCCTGCATTTGACCCGGGGGTTCGCAAGGTGACCAAGCACGTAGTGAAGTCCAAGCACGTAGTTCCAACCTGCGGATGGATTGTCGTCGGTGTGCAGCTTCACTCATCCGCGCTGCAAAGCATTGCACAGTGGGTGTTTTGGCCATCCAATCCGTGCCATCCAAATCCCTTGAATCAAGTGCTGCAAAGCATTGCACATGGTCAATGTGATACTGTAAGTGATAACCAACTACCAACCAACCAGGTCAACACACCGTGCAAAGAGAAAGGCCTGCTTTCGACCAGTACAGGAGTTGGCCTCTTGATCCAATATCATACCCGTACCCCAAAGATCTCAAGGTTTTTTGGGGTTCCCTTGTCGTGTTGATTCGTTTGATATTTTTTGGGGCCGCAGAAATCCATATCCCTGCGTCTCAGACGTCTCAGACGTCTCAGATATGGCGCGCCTGATTTTTTGTCCATCAAACATCTTCAGTTTTGTTGATTAGCTGGAGCTGGAGAAGTCGGTCGCACCATGCTCTCTGGATTCCCCAAAAAACACAAACGTGCTCTCAAATAGGATGCTGAAGCAAAAGCGCGGCTGGCCGCGCAAGCTCCTTTTGTCTAGTCGTTGCCCTGTTGCAGGATTTAGAGTCATCGGGAGAATGTTGGGGAAGAACCGAACGATGTTCTGCCACCTCAGAACGTTTGATGATTGTGGCCTGTGGCGCAGCTGCCGGTGTTTTAGCTTCACCCCGGGGGCGAAGAAGGAAACACGCACAATCGACAAGACAACCAACTGCATGCTGCGCGCCGAAGAAAGAACAAGACATGGCAGCGTAGCGGGTGACAACTCTTTTTATAGCATAAATAGCATTTGCATAAATGCCAGTGAGTGAATTCTGCTGTCCCGTTGTTCCTCCGAGACGATTCCCAGTGAGACGATACCAGCTGAGTGACAATCGATTCTTTCCACCGCAACGATCGATTGGTTTCTCGCGCCCATGTTCCCTTGGCAGCCGAGCGCCACGCAGTCTTCGCAACGCAGCGCTGCTAGATCGGACCTGGCAGTGTGGACGCAGTCCGTCAGATGTGAAACAAAGGCAGGGCTGCGGTTGCACAAGTAATTGCATGGCAATGGGTGTGTTTCAGGAAAAATATATAGTCTTTTCTCGGATATTTTGCATATAAGTTCAGAGAGGATCTTTGAGCTGTAGAGTGCATGAATCAAGCAGTATATTGATGGTTTTGTTTCCCGGCACAGCAAGGCAGGTGCCACATGCGAATGTGCTGTTTCACGGTTTGAAAACCGCATGGATGGCTCGCCATCGGCCATGGCTCGCCATCCATTTGCCCGCTGAAAGAAATAGTGGGAGACCCAACACGGGGGGCGTCCAACAGCGGTGAAGGAACTGGAGAAAGGGCCGAAGGTTAAGATCAAAACAAAGCTTGCACCCCAACAGCGGCCAATTCGTCGTCGCTGTTGGGTCAAAAAACGGGAGAACATCGAATGAATCTAAGTGTAAAACAGTTACAAAAGGCATGTTCAAAGGAACAGTGGCCCCAGCCCCTCCTTTTCTCCAGCATGTCAAAGAGGAACCGCCCCCGGAGCAACCGGGACCGGTCTCGACCGGTCCAGGTCGAGGCGCTGCGGAAACGGGCCGCCCAGAGCCAGGCCGCGTGAAACGCGGAAACACGGGGCGCCGGGAGGATCTGCAGAAACCCGGGAGGTGCGACGTGTCGACGACGTGGACGTAACAAGTGGTCAGTAGCAGCGTGCAGTAACAAGGATTAACAAGAGCTAGAAGCTACTACCCAGACACGACTAATGGGACTGCCAGTTCGGACTGCCGCCCCATTGACCCCCCAAACCAGTGGGGTAGAACGCGTCCTTGGAAGTTCTGGAAGACGAGGAGACTCATCAGGACAGGAGTCCCACACATAACACAACAACTGCAGGCGATGTCACACCTGCCTCATTCACTAGCCACTACTTGTAGCACAGACGAAGAGAGTCTCAGACGAAGCAGGATTCATTGAGTTGAGTAATATATAGTAATTATATATAATATTGTATATTATATAATACATTCCCAACTAACCCCCGCACCTGGACGATCCTGGACGTGTCGTGGCACAAAACTTCCCCGACCGACGGTCCGGTCGCATGGCCCACGACGGCCACCCTCGCCCTCCCAACCATCTAAGCAAAAACCGGGATGGCGGAATGTCTGCGGATGGTTCAAGTGACTGAGCATGTGGAACAAAGAAACACATATTCAAATTATGGGACAACAAAAACATACAAAAACATGTTTTTTGTTGTACGGGTTTCTTCTTTTTGAATTTATACAATGTGTTTTTTTGGTTATGTGGCCATCCCTCGAAAACGATGCCCACTCCCAGGGCCTGACCACTGCGCGCTTGGTGGCCACAGCGTCTGCGGCGTTGGCCGCGGCGCGGAAGAACCGGAGCGGTTGCGAGAGTCCACGAGCCCTGCGGAGAAGCGGCTTGGAGGGTTACAGCAAGACGGGTTGGAGGAAGTGGAGATCGAACACTTTGGGGATGGGCTGAAGTATGCTGAAGTAGTCGGGTTGTTAGAAGTGAAATCGAAGTTACTGCAAGGAAGTGACTTCGAGATTCCCTTCCTGCTAGTTGCTCCTTGCAGGGATCTCTACCGTGCATACAGAACTCATCTGAACTCTTTTGAACTCCGTGAATGTTTGTTTTTCAACTTCTGTTGGCCAACAGTCCAACAAGGCTTCTCGTGGCTCTTTGGCAAGGGCGGAGAAGATGCGGCGCGCTGGTGGCGCCACCATCCGCGCGCAGGGGATCTTCTCATTGGTTGGGTGATGCATCCGACATTGACCCAAGGCAATAAGCTGGACTTAGAGGCTGGAAACATGGAACGTCTCGAACTGCGCAATAGCATGGCTTAGAAGCTGGACCCAAGGCAATAGCTGGAACATGACTGGGAGGTCACCCATTGTTGTGGTGGCCCAAATAGATTGTGTGTTCTGTAGATGTTCGTGCGCGATTCTGCCGGGCGGAGGGGGGGGTATTTCTCATGGAACAAAGGAGCCGTTCGAAGCTACGGGGAGTTTCTCCAAGCCCTTGGCTAATATGATCATCCTTTAGCCCTTGGATCTTTCATGAGATCTCTCCAACGCCTTTGCGTCCTCAGCAGGTGGACTTCGCGTCCTCCACTGGCGGCCTTTGGCGCTCGAGAGCCTTGAACTTTCAAGGCAAGTTTCACTCCAAAGTGGAGGACGCCCGCTGTTCGACTCACGTGAGCGTTTTGGCATGAAAATCAGGAGATATCCGGGTATATCAGGCTCCGTGGAATGTCGGATTTTACAACTCCCCCCCTAGAAGGTGTCTTATTTGGCGGGGGGGTTGAGAAGGTCTGAACTTGAACAGATCTATTAATTGGGGGACCCCCCATACTCTATCTGTTGAACTTCACGTGGCTTTTCGTGGCCCGAACCAAGCGCTGTGTATATACATTGCATGTTTTGTCCGCCGGGGACAGGGGACGGGGTGAACGAGGGAGAGAGCGAGGATGGACCACCCAACAGTGTTCAAGCAGATCATTCCGACAGAGGTGTGCACCACCGCCAACGCGAGGGAGTGCAATTGTCAATTGTTAAACAGCTAGCAGCCAACTGCGCCCTAGACTGGATATTGTTACTGGATGAGGTAGTTGCCACCTAGACTGGATATTGCTGGACGGTTCCATGGCAACCACCAAAGCTTCCCACTGCCTGCTTCCTACATCTTCCTCTTTTCTTTGGATGCTACAGGAGTCTTTCTGGTTTGACTTTCACCCTGACTCTCCTAACTGCACATGTGTCAAACCAGGCCGAGCGCCCCGGGGCGCTGCGCCAAGCTCATCCGCTGGCGCCACACCCCTTGGCAGTGACCTCTCCGTTTGACTTGCGCAGGATGCCAAGCTCATCTTACAGGATGACGTGACCAAACTGGAAGGGCGCATGGAACATGAATCCTTGGGCATTGAAGGCCAGCCCGAGGGCCTTCTGGAATACAGGTCGTGCAAGGTCCTTGGCAACGTATTTCAACGTATTCTCAATGCATGGATGCACGAAACACCATAAAGGAAGAACATGCGAGCCCTTCGGTCACATCGCCAACCGCATTCGGTTGAGTTTGATGTATCAGCCATCTTCTCAGTAGGCACTTTGGGGAACCACCTGTCGGAATGTCCACCCACACGTGACGAACCGAGCTGCCCCTTCGCTACGGAGCTCGGCTTAGCTCGGCCTCCAACCGCCAGCGATGCGCCCAGCGATGGCCTCCAGGCTATGTGATCCACGAGAGGGAATCCGGAGGAAAGTTCATCCTGCGCCCGTTGCCCGAGTGTTACCGAGCCTCTCGGACGCGAGACTCCTCCTCGCTCGCTGGTTGGATGCTGTCGCCTTTTCCCGGGTTGAGCGGAGGTTCGCTGCGCGAGTCGAAAGGGGTCGTTTAAGGATGTTGAGCAGATCGATCTAGAGGGGGTTTGCTATGCCATGTCGTGCTTGGAGGTATTCAAAATAGTGAAAGATGATCTTTGGTCTGGCAGCCAAGCTACAACTAGCTTGTCAACCGGCTGACGATGTGTATGGTCGGCCGGCTTCACCACGATAGGGTTCTTGCATTGATGGGATTTCTATGGATTTCTCATGACTCCCCTGTGCTACTTGAGAAAGAGAGAGGACACAAACATAGATATGCTTGGTGAACACTTTGTGATAACCTACACGTACCATCATTGGATATCTTCTTGCACCCACCTTCACCTCTACCTTGAAAAGTATCCCTGGGAGTCCCAGACTTCCAAGACTAAAATTATTTGTGCTAGGGTCTTTAGATGTCTTTCGGTGACCCGAAAAAGAACTTCCTTTACTTCAGAGGGGTCAAACATAGAGTAGTTGAACTTCTAGGGTGCGCGTTTTCTATGATGACCCTTCTTCCTACCACATGATCATCACAAGACGCCATGCCGGCGGTGGCCTTCAGGAATGGTGGTCTCAAGTGAAAGGAAAGCTGAGACCCGAGGATGTGACGGACTCGCTTGAGAAAGCCGGATGACCGTCACGGACCAAAAAACGGGGTTTTCCCTGCCCCAGACAGGTCTCATGGGACCTTACCATAGTTACCTACATGGGACCCTACGGGGTCTTAAATGGAGTAAATGTATGTAACAGTCCCATGAGACCGGACTCATTGGGACCGGAGTCAATTCGTAAGGACCCATTGGAGTGAACCCGAACGACGAATCGAATAAACCCACCCCGGTTTGGAGAAACCTCTTCATATAGGGTTTAATCAAGCGTGTACATTATAGTAATTTCTTACTATATACATAATATATAGTAATAATATATATATATATATACCTCTCAGTCCAAAGACATCCAAAGACGAGTTTTCGCGCCACTAAAGTAAAGGAAATTTGTTTTCAGATCAGAGCCAAATCCACTGGAAATTGCGACACCCAAGCGCCAACCAAAAGCCCAGGCCACGGCTAAGACTACCCCAAAGCCCAAGGCCTCTCCAGTTGTAAGGCCTCTCACAGTGGCTGAGAAAGCAACAAAGAACTTGGATCTAGGTAACCAAGGATTAAATTGAATCACCAACTGAACCAGGTGCGAAAGCAAAGGCAAAGAACATGACGTATTGGGAATACACAACAATACCAGGACCCCCTAAGGGATGGTTCATGGACATTTGTCAGACTGTAAGGGGCTATTCTTAGACACCCCTACTAGGGGGCCCTGGTACAACAGATCGTCCATGGATATTGACGTGCCACCCCAAAGACAGAAGGAGACGTGATATGAATGATATGACGTGATGGGTTCTGACAAAGTCCCCAGGACGTCGGATATCCTGCAACAACATCGGATGTCGCTGTCATGTCACGACTCCTGATACTCAAGAGTCATTGAGAGTCAAATACGAAAAAAGAGATCCAACGCATCGGTACCTTTTTCCGGGAACGTCCTGATTTGACCTTCGGCTTCGTTTGGTGACTCGTCGAGTCGTCGTTTGTCTCGTCAGGAGCGACCGGACTTGATCGTCATTGGCGAAGAGGGCTTCACCGAGACACCGGAGGCAGGGACGAGGGGGACGCGCCAATGACGATCACGCACATCACTTACCTGGACCCTCCAACAGGTCTCCGAAATGGAGGGTTGTTAGGCCCTAACGGGTTTCAATTGGTCACCTGTTGGAGGGTGCTGGTAGTTATATAAGGGAGTTTGGTGCCACACGGAAACAGGTGCGGGGGCCGGGGTTAGTTGTGAAGAATCGCCCATCGATCATATAGTGTGTGTATAATCATATAACCCAGGCACGACCAGTCTGGGACTGCCATAGGACTGCCGCCCCATTGACCCCCAGTCAACCACCTCAATTGGGTGGCATATATGGCGGTCCCATGGAGTGTTTGGGTAAGGGATTGATTGTCGGTTTACTAGAGATGGGTTAGATCCATATACATGCAAAGGCCACCAAAAGTTGTAAACGGATGGTGTTCAGATGCTAAGTGAGTGGAATTCTGGGAACGACCGCCTACTCTGCAAGAACCACCCCTTTGGACTGTTTCTACATGTCTATGTACATGTGTTTTCCCCAAATCTTTGGACGTTTGTTCGCGAACCTTGGCCACTGAAAGCTCCACAGAGAAGGGTTGTGAATCAGATTTCACCCACTAATAGCCTAGCTTCTTGTTCCTATATAGCGATGGCCTCCAACCTACTTGCGATGGCCTCCACCGAATAGCAATGGCCTCCAACCTAGTAGCTTCTTGTTCCTAGTAGCGATGGCCTCCAACCTACTTGCGATGGCCTCGAACCTAGTAGCTTCTTGTTCCTAGTAGCGATGGCCTCCACCTAATAGCGATGGCCTCCACCCTATAGCTTCTTGTTCCTAGTAGCGATGGCCTCCAACCTACTTGCGATGGCCTCTACCCTAGTATAGATTCTTGTTCCTAGTAGCGATGGCCCCTCCAACCTACTTGCGATGCCCTCCACCTAGCAGCGATGGCCTCCACCCTAGTAGGCCTCCAACCTACTTGCGAAGGCCAAGATGTCTCACACACTGTGGAACTGGGAAGCCCAGGACACCACGGAATACCCGGACTTCTCCTCACCGGAGCAGCTCCGCAAGTTCCTCATGCGGCGCATCTCGCAGCAGATGAACGGACAAAGGCCCGATCGGTCCGGTCTCACTCGGTCCGCAGCCAGCGAGCTGGACGGCCCCGGCCGATTTCGGCACATGCCCAGACACGACCTCCATGGGACTGACATATTTAACCATTGGAGTGGTTGAAAAGGGGTCAATGTAGGTAAATATGCCCTACATGGAGTGTCTGGGATGGATATCCTGTGTGGGTTTGGATCCAGAAACGATCTGAATTGAAGGCGTTAATTGACATGTTAAAACATCACGAGTCTGCGACGGACTACACATTCAGTGCGAGTTCTGCGCAGAAGACGTTAGATCATTGATCACACCAACATCTTCTTGGAACTTCCTCTAAGATGTACAAGGGACACTCCTGTGAGCAGGTGTTTTCACGTCGAAAAGTGAAGAACGTGATGCTGTTTGATCCGCCCTCAAAGTTGTCGGAGGTCGGAAGGTATGGTCCTTTGCCTCCTGATCATTCAGTCTCGAAGTCTGGCAAATGACAACGACCAGCATCATCAGTCGATGCGACCTTCCATGCAACCGGAAAGAGGGTATAGTCCAGGCATATATCAATCATATCAGGGGTGACCCAAATAGATCCTTCCCTCAAGATTTTGTTGCAGAGAATATAGAGAATGATGGGTGTGTACAGTATATCGTGTCGTATGATGACGCTGACGAAATGAGTCGGCCCTGTTCATGCAGTCCGCGGTGACCCGTAAATCGAGGGTGTAGGGATTGATCTACAGAGACATGTGTTATTGTTTATATTTGCTTGTAGGGGAAACACAAGACTAAGAGCATGCGAGAGCCGCTCTACATGTTAATTAACATGTTACTGAATTAGGCAACTTGACCAGCTGCCGTCCTGCCGTCTCACCCATCGCACAGCTTTGGCATGACCAGCATCGGCATCACCATGGTGCACACCCAAAAAAGACTGGTGGGCAGGGGCAAAGGGGTTCAAACACATTCTATACAAACTAACCCCCAAAACGTCCAACGTAACCTTGAACCGCAAATGTCCTGGCTTCTATGATCCAGCTCTCCCGGTCTCTAGCTCTGCGGCGTAGGCGCTCCTCGGGCGGGACGAACAAGGAGAGCAAACGCGAGGAGATCCTGGGGAAGTTCTCCTTCCGGCCAGATGAGGTGAAGACCTACCTGGAGCCCTGGTCCTGAGTGATGGGGTGGTTTGTGTGAGTGATATCTTTTTGTGTGTGAAGTCGGATCTACACAAGTTCTGACAGGGCGTTCTTTGCGAAACTTGCAAGGAACATCATCATGTTGCATAATTTTGCATATGCTATATGCCTATATGCTCCTGTCATAGTTTCGGCAATAAAGACATTGAAACACATGGATGATGCTGACATATATCATGACTTGGCGGATGTTTGGGTTTGGGCGATGAACATACTCTTCCTCGAAGAGTTTGCAAACTCTTCAGTTTTTCTTTGTTCTGTGCAGAAGCTGGACGGTAAGCTGATGGACGGTGAGTTGATGAGTGAGCTGGTGCATGGATGAGTGGATTCAGTGGATGTTTTGGTCAGGGGGGTACTGCTGAGTGATATGGCATGTTTGTTTGGGCCATTTTTGCACACAGACCTGGACCATCCAAGGGATGCCCAATGGAGACCTAGTAGGTGTACTTGGAATTCCTTCGGATGGGTCATGAACAGAAATCAGCCTCCACTGGCTGATCTTTTTGTCCTGATAAGACGATGCCACCCCGAAGTGGATCCGAAGAGCTATTCGAAAACACATCAGCATGTGTCACTTGTTGACTTTCAAAAGCCACTGAGACGGCGTCCCAAGGCCGCAGTCTGGAGCGTTTGGGTTCAGTCTGGTAACCGGTACCTTCGAATGGGTGCAGCCAGGTACCTTCGGACCAGATGTCGGACACTCCGGACAGCCCCAGGCTGCCATATTGACCGGACAGCCCCGGGTGGTTTCAAAGGTCAATGTACCCAGGCACGACCTCCATGGGACTGGCGTATAGAACTACATTGGGGTGGTTGAAAAGGGGTCAATGTGATGTAAATTAATATGCCATACATGCCCAGACACTCCATGTATGACATATTGACCTACATTGGGGTGGTTGAGAAGGGGTCAATGTAGGTAAATATGCCAGTCCCATGGAGTGTCTGGGGTAGGCATCTATTCGCTACCTGGAGTGCGAGACGAGATGTTGAACCGCGAAGTCTTGCTTGGGCCGGTGCCAAGTAGAAGTCTCCAGCTGCTGTCCAGATCTGCTTGTTGCTGAAAGGGCAGGCTTTCGGGCATCCAAGAGATCCTTTTTGGCCGTGCTGGCCATGGGTTGCAGGAACATCCACTGCAACCCATGGGAATGCCATGTGATTGGTGAAGCTTGGTGCGACCAGCAGCCGCTGCGCGCGCTCGGCGGTTCCGACGCCCGGCGCGCCAGCAGCGGCTGAGGATCGCTACGTGATTTGTCAAGACGCCGCGAAGGAGATGCTCGCGGTGGCCATTTGTGATCACTACAACCGTGCCAAGGCCCGGTATCACAGGCTTACTGTATCACCCATGCGAAAATCCCGAAGCACAGGGCGACCAGGGGTATCATCTCCATCTTTCAACAGGGAGCCGTTCGGAGCAGCGACCCGGAGGGAACTCCAAGCCTTTAAGTGGCTACATTTATGAGCTCCTTTTGGGTCCGCAAGGTGTTTTTTGTCCGTTGTTTGATTAAGCATGAACATGCCAAGTGAATCGAAGTGACAGCAAACAGGGTCGGTGAACATTCACAAATTACCCAATAGAATAGGAACCAATTCCAAAAATCATCCCAGAGCCAAATTCCTATTGAGGGAATCTCCAGATTCTGCATAATTATCGATCTGCTCCAGGATGACGATATTTCGGCCAGCGTGTTTGGCGCAACACTTCGTTCGTTTCAAGGGGCACTTGGTGCCGGGATGTTCCGCAACGGCGTAACACGCCAGAAAGGGGCATGTGCTGGGTTCCGGCGTCATGGACAAACGTGCGCGAAGAAAGAGCCCCGGTCCCGGACGTACCTTTGCGCCATGCCTGTCGACCCCAAGCACGGAATAGCAGAGAAATGGTTTCTGTTTTTAGCAGAGAACAAAGACATTGCTAAGAGAAACCCTTGATTGTTTCTGACTTTCGATGGCAAGCCTAGCCACGTAAACGCGAGCTGGCGCACGCGTTGTTGAACGCGTAAACGGGAGCGTCACTGCTGGGTTAGATCTCAAAACCCTGCGCGACTGGTGCGACAAAGGAGTTTTTTGCGATCCAATCATTCCATCGATCCAGGTTTCTCCAAGTCAAGTCGCACCAGTCTGCGTCCTATCCGGAAAGACTCTCAGCCGGCGGGCGGACCCCGAACGCGCCTAGCGGCCTAGCGCTCTTTGGGCCGTCAGCCTTCCACACCGAACCGGTGACTGGACGAGTCGTCGGTGACGCCACGCGTCGTGCCGCCGGCAGGAAGAGTTGCATTTCCCCGTGGGGCCGCGCGAGGCCGGGGAGCGTCGGACGTGGGGGGTGATGGGGGGGAAGTGAAGTTGGTTCGTGAGGGCCGTGAAATCAGACACATGACATGTTGCAGTTGGAAGATCTAGGTGTGTAAACATACTATAAACATGTGTGTAAACATTAAAATGTAAATAGGTTTGATTATATAGATTAGGTTTGATTAGATTAGATCAGATCAGATCAGATGAGATAGATAGATAGAGTAGGTGCTTGAAGTACACAAAGCAGGAAAAAGTGTCATGATATTTGTTCGATTTGTCAGATGATGATGTTCTTTTACCCAGCGACTTCCACTTGCTATGGTTCATAGTTATTATCAGGATGCTCAGTAGCTCTTTGAGCAACACCCCATTGTTTCACCCTATATAGAATGTTTTGACTCAACATGTAGACTGTAGACTATCTTCGTTGAAGAGCACTGTTTGGATGTTTTGCGCTCTGTGATGCTTCCAGATGCATCAATGGCCTGTTGGTAGATGTTGGTAGTAGGATGTAGTTCTCGGTTCATGTTTTGCAATCTCTTGATGAATCTGAAGCTTCTCTTGTTGCCTTCTGGTGGATTCGACAGTCCTCAATGGCCTGTATAGCATCTCTCCATGTAGACTGAACGTGAAGTCTGCCGAGCTGCGCAGCTGTCAGAACGCCGTGTTCACAATCTGCCGGATCAAGTCTGCCAAAGACCTTCCAGCTTGAACCAACTATGTTTCAACTCCACCACGAACCAACATCTCGATACCACAAACGAAGGTGTTGGTCTACGCCTCTACCGCCTCCCCTGCGACGAAGGCGGATCTGTCTGCTATGAGTTCACTCAATGTCTGTGATGTCACCTCCAACATGTTCCAGTACATTGTTTTCCACGTCTTGTAGTATGGCATGGAATGACCTCCATGTTCATGTTCCTTGAAGGCAGAGGGCGAGGATGTCAAGCCAGAGGCCGAACCGCCTGCTCTAAGCCAAGCGTATGAGCATCATGTTCGCCTGTGTAGACAGCCTCTACTCTACGGTTTTGGGGTGTTTGCTAAATGGAACCATCAAGCCTTTCAGATTTGCTGTGCCTTTTCACACGTATAGTTCGTTCGTTTCCAGGCTTTTTGTGGAATGGGCAACACAAGAATCATGTAGTTAGAGTGTATGATAGTTCGTCCGTTTCCGCTTTTTGTGGAATGGGCAACAACGATTCTTGAAAACACGCTGAACGATTCTTGAAAACACTGTGGTGGCTGCTGATTGATGTAAGGGTTCTTTGAAACAACATCTCCACCCTTGAGAACCAGGTCCATATATTCCTTCAGGTACCTTGCCCGAAGATTGGGCCGCCCTGAAGAGGATTCCACTCGGTCCGATGGTCACTAATTACCCGACTTGTGATAGACTTTACCCCGCATCAAACAAAGAAACCATCATGAGAGGATTGGACTGTCCATCAGTGGTTTTGGTCCCCCCCGGTTCATTGGACCAAATGCAAAGGACACCATCATCATCATAATCATAATACTTTGTGCTCATCTCAACCCACTGGTGGAAGGAAGGTAGTAGACCAAAAGATGTGAAACTTTCTGGGGCCTTCGCCTTTCAACCTGGGAGCAATGCTGCAGCCATGCTGCAGCCATGCTTAGCTCTTAGAATATCTTGGAATGAGAACACACAAAGAGAAGATCAACGAGCTGATACTTTCTTTGAGAAGATCCAAGAGCTGAGACTTGCTTCATTTTTCTTCGCCACTAGCCTAGCTCACGTGGTCCCCGGAAAAACACATCACTTTTCCCTAAAATCTTGCCAGGTTGACCTCATGTTGATTGAAGAATTTCCACTTAACTCTATAATAGTGACTACACTTCTCGTTTCACCAGGGTGTTTTGTTTGGAGTAGCAAGCTACTTCATGCACATTTGCTTCAGGAGCGGAGCCTTTTTTCCTCCGCCAGGAAGCAAGTCAAGGCCCATCCACTGCAGAAACCACCGAATCGACCTCAACTGAAGAAGCGACCTCCCCGTACCGCTGGCGCCACTTCTTTGACAAGCTTGGTGACCTGGGGGACTGGGGATCCATCGAGGTTTTCGGGGCTCTTAGAAAGAAACGCTGTTTTCCTAGAGTCTTCAGACGGTTTTCCTAGATGAGGGCACAAACACAAACCCCGGACCCTATATATATATATATATATATGCAGCATGCATGGGTCTCATGGGTCTGGGATGGTCTGGGGTCTCAAATCCTTACGGTTTTGAGCGGACCGGGACCCGGGCTGTGAACGGAGCATTTGGGTGATCATGTGCTTGGGCCTTCCATCCGATCCGTGCCGTTCGATCTGTGCGTTGGGATCCCAGTGGATCAAGTGCATGGCAGTGACCACGTCCCCTGGGAGTCCAGTCGACCATGTTTAAAACGGTCTGACTTGGTGATCCGAAGTTCGGAACTTCCTGAACACTTGGGTGATGCCGAACATAGTCGACCTGGACTTCTAGGGTTATGCTATATTATACAAGGAACCAGGGTTTCTGTTTGTCGAAAACAGTGAAAGAAGGTAAACCGTTTGTGGTTTGAGTGTTCTTTATCATATTATACAAGGAACCAGGGTTTCTGTTTGTTTCTGCTTGTGGTTTTGGAGCCACTGGTTACCATGCAACATGCGTATACGCGGCATTTGTGTGACGTCGCTTGCCGCGGCACTTTCTTCTTCACCCATCGGGTCCGGTCTGGTCGGTGTTCCGAAGCCCATTGGAACGGAAAGACCACAGGTGTTAACCCGGGCTTCGTGGTAAACAGTTGTTGTCTTTGAAAACCACGGAAGTTCCGGGTGGTTCGTCGGGTGGTTCGTCGGATTTCATGGTGCCCTGTTCAGCAGAAAGAACGTCGGGTTGGTAAGAACGTCAGGTCGAAACCTGCGGGCTCCAGTCGTACGTGACAGGGGTGGGTTCGTGAGACCTTCGGAGGTACGGCTGGAGCCCGAACGTTCGGGAGAAGTCCACTCCACTTGCGTTCGAACGCGACGGTGCCAGACTCCAGATGGAGCCTGACTGGAGCCGACGGATTAGGGTGAGCTCTCGCTCGCCAGGACGGACCACCCGAAGAAGGCGGCGAAAAGGGCTGAAGAAGCTCCAGAGCAAGGTGTGGGGACTCCCCGTGTTCTTGGAGAGACAGAGAAAACAGATGAACAAAAGAAGTCCAATGTCTGGCACTTGCCCAGTGGTTCTTGAACACCCTATGACCCTTTCTGCGACACTTTTTGGTGGACGGGAGAGAGAAGAGAACACCATGTGTGGCTGAAGATCGATCCACAGGCCATGCTCCATGACGCTCCATGCTGGAGCAAATATGAAGCTGTTTGGGACAGTCGTAGGCCAGTACGACTGGCCAGCAAGATGCCACACCGAACGGAGCATCTTGGGGACCCCAACACACCTCCGCGCGCGTGAAAGCGCGCGAAACGGAGCCATCGTGGGGACCGTGTTCGAACGGAGCATCGCGCAGCGGCGGTGCGTTGACGACGGGGAAACTGGGGCGACGTTTTTCTGAGCAGTTTAGTCTGGTTAGAATCGAGGGTGTGTGTGAGAAGTGCGGCTTTGCAAGTGCCCCTAAGGATCTCTATGCTATAACATTTAGTGACAATATGTAGTATTAGTGGAACTGGTGTGACTGAGCCAAAAGCTTGGGCTGCCCAGGCAGAGATCGGAGTTGTAAGTTGTAAGTTTAAGGACGAATCCAGCATCCTATCATATATATGTCTTATCTTATCACATCTTATCACCATTTGCAAACATGAATCTGTTTTTTAGGCTTCATGTTGCCTTGCTGAATCTGCGGCGCCCGCCCACCCGGGCATCCTCACCGAGAAGGTTTGGGGACCGAACCGCCGGTCCTACGCTCCATGTCGTCCCAGTACACGACCAGTCTGGGACTGCCAGTTCGGACTGCCGCCCTGTGCTTGGTCAATGGGGGGCGGCAGTAACTGGCAGTCCCAGACTGGTCGTGTCGATGCCGATCAACGGACCCCTCACCACCCCGGCCGGTCCCACGTTGATGGAGCCGTCGGTCCGGGGCGGCTTGGGGTCGAGCGAGTGAACTGGTGGTCTGGTCACTAATGAGGATCCACCACAGTCGCTAGGGATCCAAGTACCTTCTCAGAAGGCACTTGGACCCTCCAAACCCACCCCAAACACCTTCTGAGAAGGTACTTGGATCCCTAGGGAGTCACTTGGGGCGTCCATCTACTCTCCTTTGGCGCGGCCAGGAGGGTCATGCCCCGAGATCACGGAGAAAGCGGAGAGCGTTTGCTTTACGGATACGGACGGCGATGCCACGCGGATGTGAGTAGAGCGCATCCGCGTCAAGCAGAGATGACCAGATGAGAGGCACACTAGATATTGCAGCAATATGATGATCATATACACCATCATATACCAAGATGCTGGACAGTAGTCCATTATAGTCTACTGTAGTTTGTTAAGCAATCGTGGAATTGGAGCTGGGGATGAGTTCAAACCATGATAGTTAGACGAGAATCGGCTTGGCCTGCTTAGCATGTATACTTAACAGGAAGATGTCCGGCACCTGATAAGGGAGGATACCCACAAGGCTGTTGAACCTGTCAACATCGTTCTACTTGTTTTCGTGACCTTCCCCACCACCATCCCGCAGTGTTCGGGCAAGTGACTCTCTTGCTGAGGTGATTCTCTTGCAGCTCGAGGGTGACTTGGGTGCAAAGAGAGCGAACGAACTAGGCATACCCTTCCCAAAAACCAAAGCTGATGGAATGCCACTGTAGTTTCGTTTCAAGTGTCCTTTCGCAAATTGTTCGGTTGCCCCATGTGAACAACAAAGCATCATCAGAGCCTCAAGCGTCGGTCTATTCAGAACATGTTTTCCAAGTATGTTCCAAGAACGTCCAGCGTCGTCCGCGTCAGGTTCTTCTCCGCCAATCCCAACCCCAGTCTCTCAGGTGACCAGTTGGTGGAATACGTGAATGGTGAGTTGGAGATCGAGCACGTCAAGCAGTTTGACATTAACCTGGAAGAAAGGACCCGGGCTGAGTTGAACAAAATAACGCCGATGTCAGCACATGTTCACATGACCGCTGGACACTCTGGACCTGCTTCGTAGACCTGGTCGTGTTTGGAAAGAGGTAGGGGCTAGGAATCAATGAAGACCTCGAATTGGACACCAGTCTTCACTCCATTTTACTCGAGTTCGCCAGTCTTCACTAGTCCAAGACACCAACGAGTTCGCCAGCCATCGAACATTCCCACCAAAATTCAGGCCTGGAGATTGCAGAGTTGCCATGAACCTCGGGGGTGTGGAATCTCTTCGAAAAGGCCTCACTGCCCAGGACCTACAGCGACCAAGACGGGTCTGGGAACTTCAAGGAGGATGCAGATGTGATTGAACTGAAGCGCAGCAACCAGGATGGATGAAGCAACGTATTGTGATGAGAGGAAGTGATGGAGAAGGACCATCGGTATGACTTGGTGCGTGAACCAAAGACCTCCAGCCGTCAGCCTCGGTCGTGAGCTGTGGAGTCAGGATAGTCAGGTGCTAAGAATCTAGATTTGGTTCCTCAAACCTATAGGTCCATAGGTCCAGATTTGGAGCATTGACCAGCATTGAAGGGGGTTTCCTGTTCGGTGGAGCGCGGAGCTAAGAGCGGCCAGCCCTCGATCCTAAGGCCCTAAGGGCTGTGTGAATTTGGGAGACCGAACGATCAGAGACCCAACGTGAGAGGACAGGGAGGATCGAACCGATCCGGACGCCTGGATGTGGTGGTTAGGGTGGTTTGGCCTGGCCTTGGCCTGGCCTTGGCCTGGCCAAGAATGGTCCTTTTCCGTCCAAGGCCCGAGTCTTGGACTATGTAGTATACTTTAAAAAGGAATTGGGTGCTCGAGGACCCAGATGCCACCGGACCATGTATTGCTTTGAGGCATCGACCGAATGCTGGCCCGTGCTGCCAAAGCGTCCTTATTGAAGCCCAAGAGGGTGACTGGGAAATACGGGGAAAGAGGAGTCGGACGGGTTTGCAAAACACTTGATCTTAGACGTTTAGAAAGCTTTCGATGTGCTATGAATTTGATAATTGAATTTAGCATGATTGGGTCGATTTGAGGGGGTCTTGATGTGGTTTGAGTATGTGACCAGTATTCCAGAGGTTTCAATACAGATCAGTCTATATCAAGCTTTTGGAGAGAATTCGCTGCATGTTTCGGAGGAGTTCTTTTGGTGCTCCAGGGGCCCTCTATTTGAATGGTTTGTGGTGACATCACTTTTCCATGAACCGTGGTGTTGTCACTTCCAAACCACTGTACAATAGGTCACACGCGACAACCATGAAAAAACAGCTTGATTTCGGTCCCCCGGGTCGGTTTGCAAGGTTGAAGCCAGTACCAGGACCCTCCGTGTGGGGTGTCTAATTAGAGCTCCTTGGAGGTTAAGTGAGAAGAATAGTGCACTCAGGATGAGCAGTCAACTTTTGATTTGT